ATACGAGTCAGTTGCCGGGTGTCTGAATTTGGATCACGTGACCGCAGGGGATGCTGCAACAGTCGCAGGTGTGAAAAACGGTCCTAAGTCACTTTTTTGCAGCACTGTTGTAACTTTGAATGGTCACTAAGTGAACGGTCGTAAGTCGAGGACTACCTGTATTTAGTCCTGTGCATTGTTTGCATGGCTGGTCCTCGACTTGCAGCCGTCTGTTTAACGACCGTTCCAGGTTACGACAGCACTGGGGGGAAAAAGTGACTTTTACAACTGGTCCTCACACTTACAGCTACAGGCAGTCCTCTACTTACAACAGTTTGTTTAGTGACCGATCAAAATTACAATGGCACCGTAAAAAAGTGTTTTTCACACTCTGATGACCGTGGCAGCATCCCCGCGGTCACAGGATCAGTGGTGGGTTCCTCCCGGTTCGGTCCCGTTCGGCCGAGCTGGTAGTGGTGACGATATGACGTCACCGAACCGGTTCTCCCCCCCCACCCTCCCACCCCCCCCACGTTATTCTTACCTTTTATTTGGTCCCACCCCCAATCTATGGCTGCCTCCTGAGTCCCAGCTGATGACTAAAGGGAAAAAAACTGTTTAAACTCTTGCCGTGGGGCTTCAAAGGGCCGTCCTACAGCTGATCAGTGTTAAAAGCAAACAAATGAGTCGGGTCGTAAGTGCGAGGACTGGTCGTAAGTGCGAGGGCCTTCCAGAAATGACTCTGACCAGCTAGCCACGCCCACCTAGTCACATGACCTCCAAGCCACACCCACAAAATAAGCCACGCCCACAGAACCGGTAGTAAAAAAATTTAGAACCCACCCCTGCACAGGATCAAAATTCGGACACTTGGCGACTGACAGTCGCCGTGTCCCGGGATCACGTGATTTTTACTTTTACGACCTTCCGAGAAGCAAAATCAATTCATTTAACAACCAGGTTACTAACTGCAGTGATTAGCTCAGGGGTGTCAAACTCAAAGCCCAAGGGCCACCCTGGAAATAGCGAAGGACTGGACCGCGGTGCTTCTGCCGGCGAAAACGGGCTCCCGAGCTCCATTTTTGGCTGCCACAGCCTCCTGCAACCCTCTGCCAATAAAAACAGAACTCGCATGCGGCCCTCCCAAGCTCCGTTTTCACTGGCAGAGGGTTGCAGGAGGCCGTGGTAGCTGAAAATTTTTTCGCCCGAGCCCTTGAATTTTTTCGAGGGTTCGGGCCACCACAGGTGCCAATGATGTCGAGTTGGCCACACCCACCCTGGCCACACCCACTCTGTCCCCCTTCCCCCCCAGGTCAAACACAACCCTGATGCGGCCTTCAACGAAATCGAGATTGACACCCCTGGATTCGCTTAACAACTACGGCGAGGAAGTTCATAAAACGAGGCAAAACTCCCTGAACAGCTGTCTCGTTGAGCCACAGAAATGTTGGGCTCAATTTTGGTCGTAAGTCCCTTAAGGATCTCCCATCATTTTCTCCCCTCTCCACATTATCCAGGTGTAAATTTTCCTTACCAACTACTACTAGACTCTGTCCGTGGCTGTTTGGTGTTTCTCGTCTTCAGCTTTCTTTCTTTTTTTTTTTTTTACTCTTCAGATGTTTTCAGTGCCATTAAGTGCTCAATGACGCTTAATGATGCTTAAGTGCTGTTTATTAAGTGCACATTCCACTGTTGACTCACCTCGTCTTCCTTTTCCCCGATTTGGGGACGGCACAAGGCTGTGAAGTCTAATGACCCCATATCAAGACTTCCACAAGCTTTCCCAGGGCCAGAACCAAAGTGTTACCTGGTCTGTGATCTCCTAGAGGTGTGAAGTCCACACATCCTAAAGTTGCTAAGGTTGAGAAATATTGCTCGTATGATAAAAACTTTTTCAAGCTGAAAATACCCGTATTTTTCGGATTATAAAACGCACCGGAGTATAAGATGCATCAAGATTTCGAAGAGGAAAACAAAACAAAAAAAAATACTGTAGTTTTTGCCCTCTTCTTTAGTTCTCACTGAACTAGGGCTGCATAAAAATCTTGGTTTACGTAGGAAGAACCTGGCTAAAGAGAAATACACATAAAGCCTACGAAAAGAAAAGAAAACAAATACTGTACCTTTACAGGGAGGATACATGGGATGAGGGTGTGGCTAACTGATGAGGACTAATAAGTCCAAAATAGATCTATCTTAGTCTCCTTAGTCTCTCAATGGGCAGCAGGGTGCTTGCTGGCTGCCTGAAAAAAGCCTAGAAACTAGTGGATTGTGATTTCACTGAACTAGAGCTGCATAAAAATCTTGGTTTACATAGGAAGAACCTGGCTAAAGAGAAATACACATAAAGGCCTACGAAAAGAATAGAAAACATCTATCTATCTATCTATCTATCTATCTATCTATCTATCTATCTATCTATGTAGGTCTTTGGTTATTCGGGTTTTCTCCCGCGTAAAATTAGAAGTGTCTTGGCGACGTTTCGACGAAGTCTCATTTGTCATCTTCAGGCTGGTGTTTTCGTCTTCGTGCTTCTAGGAGCAATGTGTGATCGCAGCTGTTTCTTCCTTTTAACTGCTAGTGGGGGTGTGAACTGATTGGGTGGGAGCTTGGCTGTGTTCTGATTGGGTGGAGGTGTGTTCTGATTGGCTGGGGGGTTGGCTGTGCTCTGATTGGCTGGGTGTGTGTTCTGTTTGGGTGGGGGCTTGGTTGTGCTCGGGTTAGTCTGAGTTGCAGGGGGATTTGAGCTGGTGAGCTGCGTTGCTGTTGTTTGGCTTCACATTCATGGTCGTGCCACATCTTCATGGTGGGTGTCAGTCTGCTTCATGTATGGATTGGAGTGGTTTAAAGTGGCTAATGATGCAGCTGCGGTGTGGCTTCTGGTCCGTGGTCGTATCTCATCATCGGTGTGGGTTTGAGTCTGCTTTCCGCGTGGATGTGTGGTGGTGACATCCTGTGTGGCCCTCGTGAGTGTGGGTCTGGTGTCATTCCTCGTGTTAGGGACTTGTTTGTCAATAAGGGCGGGTTTCCAAATGGCTGGTAGGTGGGAGGTATCATCTCGTTTGTTCATGCTGTGTGGGCGTTTTTCTATCTTGATGGCTTCTCTGATTATTCTGTTGTTAAAGTGTTCAGTTTTGGTGATCGTTGTGGTCTTTTTAAAGTCAATTTCATGTCCTGTGGCTTTGAGGTGTTGGACCAGGGAAGAAGTTGGTTCCTCTTTTCTGACTGAGTTCCACAAACGCGAAGCCAAACAACAGCACTTCCAATTTTACGTGGGAGAAAACCCGAATAACCAAAGACCTACATACAAACACCCGCAAAAACCTCAGAAAACATATATGTTTTTCTTTTAGCCAGGTTTCTCCTACGTAACCAAGATTTTTCTTTCTACAGCCCTAGCTCAGTGGAGTCACATCCACTCGATTCTGGGCTTTTTTCTTCTGGCAGGCAGCAGGCCCTATGCTGCCTAGTGATCTATCTATCTATCTATCTATCTATCTATCTATCTATCTATCTATCTATCTATCTATCTATCTTATAAGTGACATATCTAAGGAGTTTCCTTGGCAGCAGAAATGTTACTGCTACAATAATTGCTGTAATAATTGATAATTGCTATTATATGCAATTACAATATAATAGTACAAAACCATACAATACTGCATCCAATTCTAGTCACAGCAATAGAAAAAAATAGATGTTGAGAGTTTGGAAAGAGTGCAGAGAAGAGCAACAAGGATGATTAGGGAACTGGAGGTGAAAACACATGAAGAACGGTTGCAGGAACCGGGTGTGTCTAGTCTGATGAAAAGGAGGACTAGGGGAGACATGATAGCAGTCTTCCGATATCTCGGGGGCTGCCACAGAAGTTATGGGTGCTCCATCACTGGAGGTTTTCAGGAAGATACTCAGCAGCCACTTGACTGGAATGCCTCCTGCTGGAGCTAGAGGTTGGACTAGAAGACCTCTAAGGTCCCTAGGAGTCCTTGGTGATATCTGATGTCAGTTGATTTCTTGCAGACGTTTCATTACCCAACTAGGTCACAACATCAGTGCTAGAGGTTTGCGGAAAGGAGGAATAGGAGGAGGACTGTGGGGTCCTTGGTGCTCTCTGAGCTTGGTTGTGGTTTTTTCAGACGTTTCATTACCCAACTAGGTAGCATCATCAGTGCTGCATTCTTTCTGTTAGCACAGACAGTGGAAGTAACAGATGGTATCTCTGTTGTCCTGGTGAAAGAGCTTCTGCTAGCCTATAAGAGATTTGGGTATTTGGTAGATATGCTTTTTAGGTGATGCTTTTAACTCTGTTCGCATGAGCTAATCATAAACCTTAAAATCCTTTACAGGTAGTCCTTGACTTACAGCAGTTCGCTTAGTGACCATTCAAAGTTACAACGGCGCTGAAAAAAAAAGTGACTTATGACCGAGTTTCGGACTTATGACCGTTGCAGCATCCCCATGGTCATGTAGTCAACATTCAAGCGCTTGGCAACTGACTCATATTTATGACGGTCACACAGGGTGTGTGTGTCACACGATCTCGTTTTGCGACCTGCTGACAAGCCAAGTCAATGGGGGAAGCCAGCTTCGCTTAGCAAACCCATCCCTCATTTAACAACCGCAGCGATTCACTTCAACAAACATGGCAAGGAAGATTGTAAAATGGGGGGCAAAACTCCATTAACACATTTCTCACTTAGCAACAGAAATGTTGCTTTGTAGTCGTTAAGTCAAGGACTACCCCTTATTTCAGGGTGAAATGAAGTCAAAACAGCTCATTCTGCTTTTAAAGCCCTCGCTGTGTCTTCTGGCAGTAGCAAATTCTACAACTGAAAGAAGCACAAAAAGTCTTTATCTCCGGTCTTCTTTCTGAATTGCACTGGCCAGGCCTGTATTCCAAGCATAATTGTGCCATTCGTTTGTAAGGTTTAATAATCCTGACCCTTTATTTTAGGGCATTTTGGGTGGAATAAATTATAAGTCATTAATGGAGTGTTACATGTTTAGTTTTCTTTTCACAGGCTTACTGGACCTTCAGGATATGTAACGGACGGGCCGGGAAATTATAAATACAAAACAAAATGCACGTGGCTCATAGAAGGAAAGTGAGTACCACATATTGTTCTCTTCATGGAATTGGATTGTCCAGAATTTTACTGTGCGTATAATGACATCCCTGTTCAATTAATTTACATTTTCCCCCTCCTCTTTATGCAATGTTTCTCAAACTTGGCCACTTTAAGATGAGTGGACTTCAAGTCCCAGAATTCCTTAGTCAGAATGGCTGGCTGGCTGGGGAATTCTGGAAGTCCAGAAGTCTTAAAGTTCCCAAGTTTGGAAACCCCTGAGATAAAAGAACATTTCTACCTACAAGTAGAATATATTGTGAAGAAGGAAGATCTGGTTACCAAGTTGAAAAACTAACCCTTTTATGTTTAAAGGATTTGAAAGAGTATAATTATTTTGATTAAAATAGATGATGATGTCTAGAAAAATTAACGAGTATACATACATACAAATACATACAATACATACAAATACATACAAATAGTCCTTGACTTACAATCGAATAGAATGACAGAGTTGGAAGGGACCTTGGAGGTCTTCTTGTCTAGCTCCCTCCTCGGGCAGGAAACCCTCTACCCTTTCAGACAAGTGACTGTCCAGTCTCTTCTTAAAAATCCCCAGGGATGAAGCACCCACAACTTCTGGTGGCAAGCTGTTCCACTGGTTAAGTGTCCTCTTGGTCAAGAAATTTATTCTGAGTTCTAAATTGCTTCACTTTTTTTTTCAATCCCATTGTAACTTCGAACGGACACTAAATGAACTGTTGTAAGTAGAGGACCACCCAAAGTCAGGGAGTAGCCGGAGATACACTTCAAATAGCCTTGAAGAAATCTCCTTCAGTCAACTCCAATTCGCTGGTGAATTTGGCCTGACCACTTTAGCCCTAACTCCGGATTATGGATCACACACCAGAACAACCGGAGCGACGGACTCCATTTGCAACCGTAAATAAAAATTGCAAACATTTTCATTTCTTTGCAAGTCCTTGCATGCGACGTGCTGTGCAAATTGAAAAGTGTGCAGGTGCTTTTCCTTTTCTTTGTTTGTTTTGGAAAGGCTGTTGAACGCATTTCTTTCTTTTTAGGCCCAACACGGTCTTGAGGCTTCGCTTTAATCACTTTGCAACCGAATGCAGCTGGGATCACCTCTACGTCTACGACGGAGACTCCATCTATGCTCCGTTACTGGCCGCTTTTAGGTAAGAACCGGTGGAAAAACGGGAATTCGTATCATGCACTTGGAAGGTCAGCGTTGTTGTGACTTAGGCCCAAGTAGTTATTACCAGACACAATCAGTCCTAAACAAACATATTTTATTAGAACGGCTGAGAATTACGTTCATTCCCAGCTGAGTCCCAATTAGTTGCAAAACAAGTCCTTCGGAAGAAGTCCTTCGGGATAATCACCAACTTTTATCTTCTTTGACACCCTGCCAAAGGCCTTACTTGGCAAAGCCCCACGAAGTTCAGAAACAAACGAGATGCCGACTGGAAACAGAGTTAGCAATGTTGCTTTCCTGCAAAAGGCCCAAGTGCCTCTGTTTCTCTTTTAAGCCTTATGGGAGGGGCCAATAATCTCTTAGCCTTACTCCCGAGTCGCCCCTTTTGCTTCAGCTGCTCTTGCCTTCTGGCAGCTCTGCGCATGCGTGCACTAGGAACAGGCTCCTCCTGTTCCTTTGCCTCTCTGCTATCCGCCTCTGGAGGCTCCAGAGTCCGTGCATCACTCCCAGATGGCCCTGGCTCCATCTCTGCCTCTGACGCAGAGCCCTCGTCCGGGCCTTCCCCAGATTTCAGGACTGGCCCATTATCCACCCCAGCCTCCTCACTGTCCGACTCCGCTGCCAGCTCCGCAGGCTGCTGGCGGACCACAACAAGCGTTTCCTTTATGATATTTAAGGAAGCGGATATTTACCGATTCATTGTTAAGACGCTGTCCGCTTTGTGTCCACCGGAGTGAGCTGTCAGAGGGGCCTTTTCATCTTCGAAGGCTCTGGGGGTTTATCCTAGTTGGAGACCAGGCATTGCCATGGGAACCACGAGAAAGACGGACTGGGGTTATTTTATTGTTATCCGCTGTTGTGTTGTTGTTTTTTTTTAATTTGGTTTGTATTTCTGTGCTTTTCATCCTCTCCGAGGAACCCCGAGTGATCTGCGGGAAAACAGACACGGAGAGAAAAAGGGCCTTAAAATGAAAGCATCACGACAACAGCCACAGTGGGGCCCAAAGGCAAAACAAAACCAAAAAATAAAACTGAGATGCAAAAGGCAACATGAAAAAAAAAAAGGATCTGATTCTGGAATTTTTATTGTCCTACCCATGTACAGTAAGCGGAATTTGCACTTTAGTTAGAATAGCTCTAATAAACCACAAGTAGGTTCGTGAGGTGTGTTTAATCTTAACTGGGCATGAAGAAAGGACAACTGAAAGAAATGAGAAAAGGAAAGGAAAGGAAAAAGAAAAGAGGGAGGGAGGAAGAGAGAGAGGAAGGGAGGAAGGAAGGAAGAAAAGGAAGGAAGGAAGGAAGGAAGGAAGGAAAAAGGGAAGGGAAGAAAGGAAGAAAAAAGAAGGGAGAGAGGAAGGAAGGAAAGAAAAGTGGGAGGGAGGAAGGAAGGAACCATCTATCTGAAATGATATAGGATCTCCTGCCCAAGCGGGGGGTTGGACTAGATGACCTCCAAGGCCCCTTCCAACTCTAATAATTCTACGTTCTGTGTTATTTTTGTGTTTTAAGGGGTACATTAAGTGCCTGGATGTGGTTCAGTAATATAGATAGTCCTCAAGTTATGAACATAGTGGAACCCAACATTGCTGTTGCTAAGCGAGACAGTTGTTAAGGGAGTTTTGCCCCACTTTCTTTCTTGCCACACTTGTTAAATGAATCACTGCGGTTGTTAAACTAGTAACACCGTTGTTAAGTGAATCTTTGCCTGTCGCAAAAGGGGATCACATGACCCTGGGACACAGCAACCGTCATAAATATGAGTCAGTTGCCAAGAAGGTCTGAATTTTGATCACATAACTGTGGGGAGGCTGCAAAGGTCCTAAAGTGGGAACATCGGTCATAATAAGCCCGTTTTTTTCAGTTGCAACTTCGAACGGTCCCTAAATGAATGCTTGCAAGCCAAGGACAGCCTGTCTGCCTGCTAAGAGTGAAATGGACATTCCTTTTCCGATGCTAGCCAAAGTTCCAAAACTTCCAACCCTGGAAGTTTTTAAGAAGAGGTTGGATAAGCATTTGTCTGAAGTGGTGTAGGGTTTCCTGCCTGGGCAGGGGGTTGGACTAGAAGACCTCCAAGGTCCCTTCCAACTCTGTTATTCTATCCTATCCTATCCTATCCTATCCTATCCTATCCTATCCTATCCTATCCTATCCTATCCTATCCTATCCTATCCTATCCTATCCTATCCCTCTCCCTCTCCCTTTGCCCTATTCCTATTCCTATTCCTATCCCTCTCCCTCTCCCTCTCCCTCTCCCTCTCCCTCTCCCTCTCCCTATCCCTTTTCCTCTTCTCTTCTCTTCTCTTCTCTTCTCTTCTCTCCTCTCCTCTCCTCTCCTCTCCTCTCCTCTCCTCTCCTCTCCCTTTCCCTTTCCCTTTCCCTATTCCTTTCTCTTCTCTTCTCTTCTCTTCTCTTCTCTCCGCTCCGCTCCGCTCCACTCCTCTCCTCTTCTCTCCCTATCCCTTTCCCTTTCCTTCCCTATTCCTCTTCTCTTCTCTTCTCTTCTCTTCTCTTCTCTTCTCTTCTCTTCTCTTCTCTTCTCTTCTCTTCTCTTCTCTTCTCTTCTCTTCTCTTCTCTTCTCTTCTCTTCTCTCCTATCCCTATCCCTATCCCTATCCCTATCCCTATCCCTATCCCTATCCCTATTCTATTCCTATTCTCTTGTTTAAAGTGGCCTTTTTATCAGTAGAGGTGTAAGGAAGCCGCTGCAGCTTGGCTGTTTTTATTTACTCCACTGATTAATGAGGGTTTAATTGGCCCCCCGAGTAATTCAAGCACCTATGAAACAGGCCTCGTAACCTTTGCACAAAGACGGAAGGGAGCTGTAGCCTCAGGATAAGCACATGTTGCTTTCCTCCTTGCTGCTTGAGAGATTGGCCGCCTGAGCTCATTCGCCGTGACATTCCCCCAAATTGAAATAAAGACACCTAAAGGACGTTAATTTAGGGGCTGAACAAAGCCATGGTGGCAGCCTGCGGGGTTTCCAGCTCCGGCTGCTGCTGAACGTATTCGTAAGCCAGGGATGTCAAACTCAGTTTCATTGAGGGCAACAACAGGGCTGTGGTTGACCTCGGGGGGGGGGGGGGGGGGGGGAGCCGGCTGGGGGGGCGTGGCCGGCTGGGTGGGTGTGGCCAGCTTGATGCCACTCCCCAAATTGCTGGCATGTTTCCTCTTCACACTGGGTAGATGGGGCCGAAACCACGCTGGCCTGATATTTCCTCTTCGCATTGGGTAGACCGGGCCAAAGCCATGTGGCCGGCCCCTTACATTACCTAGGCTGGCCCCGTGGGCCGGATCCGGCCTGTGGGCCTTGTGTTTGACACCCCTGTCGTAAGCGACCCATTTTACAGGTGGGTGAGCTTTCGAGAGCCAGGGGCCCCTGGGTGTGCGGCCCCCAAGTGCCTTCTGAAAGTATTGGTTTATTAACCAATAATTAACCAATAATTAACGGGCCTGGTGGCTCAGCAGACTGATAGCATTGTGATTAACACCAGCTGCCTGCAATTACTGTAAGTTCGAATCTCCCCAGGCTCAAGGTTGACTCAGCCTTCCATCCTTTCTAAGGGAGGTAAATTGAGGACCCAGTTTGTGCGGGCAATAAGCTGACTTTGTATAAATATACAAAAGGATGAAGGCTATTGCTTAGCGCATTGTAAGCCGCCCTGAGTCTCCGGAGAAGGGCGGCATATAAATCAAATTAAAAAAAAAATTAACCAAAGTTAAATGCCTTTTGAAAGTATTGGTCTCAATAGTTTTCCTTCACCTGAGATCTGCAGAGGTGCACCTGGCTAGAAAGCGGGAATCCATGAATTCTTCTAGTCTCACTTTAGGCATGAAAGCTGGCTGGGTGACTTTAAGCCAATCACCAGGAGACAGTGAGTTCTAGTATCACCTTAGGTGTGAAAGCCAGCTAAGTGACTCTAATCCACTCCCCAAGAGACAGTGAGTTGTAATGTCACCTTAGGCACAAAAGCTGGCTGGGTGACTTTGGGCCAATCACTAGGCGACGGTGAGTTCTAGTCCTATCTGTAAGCCAGTTGGGTGGCTCTGGGCCAGTCACTCTCTCTCAGCTCAACCTACCTCACAGGGTTGTTGTGGGGAAAATAGGAGGAGGAAGGCGTATTATATATCTTTGCTGCCTCAAGTTATTTGTAAAAATAATAAAGGTGGGATACAAAACTAAACTAAAATTAAAATAAAAACAAAATAAAATATAAAATGAGGGAGGGAGGTAAGGAAAAGAGGGAAGGAGACAGAAACTTTCTAGAAATTATTAACGTGAGACGTTTGTAAAGTGTGTTTTGCCCCATTTTACGACCTTTCTCGCTGCAGTGGTTAAGTGAACCACGGCAATTGATCCGTTAGTCCCCCGGTTGTTAAGGGAATCGGGCTTACCAAGTCACTTTTTTTCAGCGCCGTTGTGACGTTAAACGGTCACTGAATGAACTGTTGTAAATCACGGAACTCCCTGTATTTGGGAATCCCACGACATTTGAACCTGCTCTGTGTTTTCAACTCCGCGTTCGGTTATTTAATCCTCACCTTATTCCTTTTAGCGGCCTGATCGTTCCCGAGCGGGAGAGTAACGAGACGGTCCCTGAAGTTACGGCCACCTCCGGCTACGCTCTTCTGCACTTCTTCAGTGACGCCGCTTACAACCTGACAGGCTTCAACATCACCTACCAGTAAGCTACCCCTCCTCCCCTCCTCCCCACCCCCCGGACTTTGTACAGGTAGTCCTCGACCTCCGTCCCTCAATGGAACCCCGAAATTTCAAAATTTGCTAAACCAGACACTTGTTTTGTTCCATGTTGCTAATCGCTGCCCTTTTTAAGTTAGGAACAAACACGGTTCTTAAGTGAATCCGGCTTCCCCATTGACCGTCGGAAGGTCATAAAAAAGGATCCTGTGATCCTCGGACTGCGACTGTCGTAAATATGAGTCAGTTGCCAAGGGGACGAATTTTGATCACATGACTGGGGACGGGGCGGGGGATGCTGCAAAGGCCATAAATGTGAAAAACAAGTCATCGGTCCCTTTTTCCGGTGCCGTTGCAAGTTCGAACGGTTACTCAACGAAATTTATAAGTCAAGGACTACCTGTATAAAAACGTAATTTTGGGCTAAAAGGAACGTTCTCTCTTAAAATGACATCAGGGATGTTCATCAAAGCGACGCTGTTGTAAGACTTGTGGAAAAACGCTCACCTGAATCAGAAGAGCTGATGTCTAAATATTGTGGCCAGACAGGTAGAGAGCAGAGAGTCCTAAATGAGTCGTACATCCGCCTCCTTCATTTGTTAGTGGCAGCCTCTTAGATCATTTTATTTATTATTTATTTATTTATTTATTTATTTTATTTAATTTGATTTATATGCCGCCTTTCTCCGGAGACTCAGGGCAGCTTACAATGCGCTAAGCAATAGCCTTCATCCTTTTGTATATTTATACAAAGTCAGCTTATTGCCCCCACAAACTGGGTCCTCAATTTACCTACCTTAAAAAGGATGGAAGGCTGAGTCAACCTTGAGCCTGGTGAGATTCGAACCTGCAGTAATTGCAGGCAGCTGGTCTTAATAACCAGCTTAATAACAGGGTGCCTTAGACCACTGTACTACCAAGGCTCTTTAAAGTTTGCGCTGATCGCTTCGGAAGGGGCTTCCTTTGGATTTGAGGGGGGGATTTGATTATCCGGTGGTACCAAAATAATGACCACATCACAGGTATTTTGACATTTGGCCGCAAGATCTTGTCGCTGTGTATATTGTGGGAGTCTGCTAAATGCAGCATGTGCATCTCCCGAACACGTGAAGGCTTTCCCTAGAGAATGACCTATGGACGCTGCTTAGAAGCGGTTGATAAATTTTTCAACATGATTCATACAATCTGAAGAGACAGGAGAATGTAGTAGCAACTTAGCAACTTTACGTCAGCTCCCAGAATTCCCCAGCCAGCATGCGACTTGCATTTTAGAAGAGAATATTTGTAGCTCAGGGTTGAACTGAGGGAGGAGGAGAGGGAGTGGGGGGGTGTCCTTGATGGTCTCTGAGCTTGGTTGTTTTCTTGCAGACATTTTATTACCCAACTAGGTAATATCATCAGTGCTGGAAGGGAGTGGGGTTTGCAGAGAAGAGGAGGAGGAGGACTGTGACATCCTTGGTGCTCTCTGATGTTGGTGGTTTTATTGCAGGCTGATGAGGCCAGCACTGATGATGTTACCTAGTTTGGTAATGAAACATCTGCAAGAAAACTACCATGCTGGCTATAACCCAGCTGGGGAATTCTGGGAGTTGAAGTCCTCTCATCGTATAAAGTTGCTAAGGTTGAGAAACACGATTCTACATTCTCCTGTCTTTTTTCCTCTTGTGTCCTTTTCCATCGCTCTTTGTTTTAAATCTTTCAACAATTGTAAGCCACCGACTTTTGCTGGGAGCCAGGCAGCCTATAAATGTAATAAAACTATGATGATGGGTTGTGCTTGCCAGCCTGATGTGCTGACTGGATTTGGCAGTTTTATCCACCTCTCGAGTCCTTCCCAAGGACACGTGGGATCAGCAGACGTTGACGTTGGATGTAGAGTTAGAGGTAAATCGCAGGATGTCAGCTGTCCCCAGTAAAGCTGCCTTTTGCAATTGACCGATGGGGACTTTGTCGTCAATGCCGATGGTGTTGAAGTGGTCCTCCAGAGGTTTTGGGATTGCACCACCCAAGGCGCCTATCTATGACCGTTGGGACTCCCTTTGCTTCCTTTCGCCACGCTCGCTCATTCGATTTCTGCCTGGACTGCCAAGCGCCCTCGGTTGTCTGGATGTGCAGCTGGGGACAAAGAGACAGAATCTGGAATTGGAGGAACAGCAGCGCCACCTTGTGATGGCTCTCAGAATGTCACTGTAGAAGTCATTGAGGAAGAGCCAAGATTGAGGGACATCGATGTAGAGCAGTGTTTCCCAAACTTGGGAACTTCAAGATGTATGGACTTCAACTCCCAAAATCCCACAGCCAGCCATGCTGGATGGGGAATTCTGGGAGTTGAAGTCCACACTTCTTAAAGTTCCCAAGTTTGGGAAACACTGATGTAGAGGGCCACCCTGCCCAGAGGGGATGATGGACAATTTCTCCATCTGGGCCAGAATCGTCTCCCTTAGCTGGGCAGGATCTTGTTTTTACAACTGGAGTTGTCTTAATTAAAAGCAAGGTTCTACATTTAGGCAAGAAAAACAAAATGCACAGGTACCGTATATGTGGTACCTTGCTCAATAGTAGTAAGTACGAGAGGGATCTTGGAGTCCTAGTGAACAACCATTTAGATAGGAGCCAGCCGTGTGCAGCAGCTGCCAAAAAAGCCCACACAGTTCTGGGCTGCATAAACAGAGGGATGGAATCAAGATCACGTGAAGTGTTAATACTACTTTGTAAGGCCACACTTGGAATTCTGCATTCAGTTTTGGTCGCCACAATGTAAAAAAGACGTGGAGACTCTAGAAAGAGTGCAGAGAAGAGCAGGAAAGAGGATTAGGGGACTGGAGGCTAAAACATACGAAGAACGATTGCAGGAACTGGGCATGTCTAGTTTAATGGTGAGAAGGACTAGGGGAGACATGATAGCAGTCTTCCAATATCTCAGGGGCTGCCCCAAAGAAGAGGGAGTCAAGCTATTCTCCAAAGCACCTGAGGGCAGGACAAGAAGCAACGGATGGAAATTCATCAAGGAGAGAAGCAACCTAGAACTAAGCAAAAATTTCCTGACAGAACAATGAATCAGTGGAACAACTTGCCACCAGAAGTTATAAATGCTCCAACACTGGAAGTTTTTAAGAAGAGGTTGGATAACCATTTGTCTGAAGTGGTGTAGGGTTTCCTGCCTAAAAGCAGGGGGTTGGACTAGAAGACCTCCAAGGTCCCTTCCAACTCTCTTATTCTATTCTATTCTATTCTATTCTATTCTATTCTATTCTATTCTAAATTGTTGGGAATTGCAGGCAAAGGCTTTTGCTGCAAAGCACATGTTAGACTGTTTTTGCTTTGGTTGAACTAAACCCACAAGTAGTTGCTGCCTTAATTCTTCTGACTCAGAGCAAGCTGGACCAGGTAGACCTTGAGAACAGTGTCCCTCAACTGTGACAGTTTTAAGATGGTTGGATTTCAATGCCCAGATTTCCTCAACCAGCAAAATCAGAAATGGTTCCAGATATAGTAGGTTGTCTATCTCGTGGATCACTTCCTCCTTTGTGGCTTTGCACACAAAGTTTTTTCCCCCTCTTTCCTTATTTATTTCAGATCTTAGTGGTGCTCCTGCGAAGTTTTGTGTGTGTGTGGCTTTGGTCTGAAATATTTCAAGGGTTGTTTCATTGCCTTCTGAAGTAGGATAGGTAAATGCACAGGAGTGAATTTATTCATGGTTTCTTCTGAAGTTTCTTTCATTAGAAAAGGATATTTGTAGCTCAGGGTTGTTGAACTGTGGGGAGTTTGGTACTCTCTGAGTGAGCTTGGTGGTTTTCTGGCAGACGTCTCATGGCCCAACTAGGTAACATCATCAGTGGTAGTCTGCAAGAAAACCACCAACCTCAGTACCAAGGATGCTAGAGTCCTCCTCCTCCTCCTCCTCCCTCCACAAAGCCCACTCCCAATCCTCCTCCTCCTCCCTCCTTCCCCTCTCCCTGTCTCGCCCACTCCCTTCTAGCACTGATGATGCTACCTAGTTGGGTCATGAAAAATCTGCAAGAAAACCACCAAGCTCAGAGAGTACCAAGGACCCCACAGTCGTCCTCCTCCTCCTCCTCCTCCTCCTCCCCCTCCTCCTCCTCCTCCTCCTCCTCCTCCTCCTCTTCCTCCTCCTCCTCCCACTCTCTTCTAGCACTGATGATGTTACTTAGTTGGGTCATGAAAAATCTGCAAGAAAACCACCAAGCTCAGAGAGACCAAGGATCTCACAGTTCTCCCATCTCCTTCTCCTCCTCCTCCTCTCCTCTCTCCTCCTTCCTCCTCCTCCTCCTCCTCCTCCTCCTCCTCCTCCTCCTCCTCTCCTCCTCTCCTCCTCCTCCCTCCTCCTCCTCCTCCTCCTCCCAATCTCCACACCCTTCTAGAACTGATGATGTTACCTAGTTGGGTCATGAAATGTCTGCAAGAAAAACACCAAGCTCAGAGAGCACCAAGGACCCCACAGTTCTCCTCCTGCTCCTGCTCCTGCTCCTGCTCCTGCTCCTGCTCCTCCTCCACCTCCACCTCCTGTTCCTCCTCTGCCATCCCCCCCTCCACTCCACATACTCCACTCCCTTCTAGAACTGATGATGTTACCTAGTTGGGTCATGAAAGATCTGCAAGAAAACCGCCAAGCTCAGAAAGCACCAAGGAGCCCACAGTTTTTCCTTCTCCCCCTCCCCTTCCCCCTCCTCCTCCTCTCTGCAAACCCCACTCCCTTCTTGCACTGAAGATGTTCCCTAGTTGGGCGTTGAAACATCTGCAAGAAAACCACCAAGTTCAGAGAGCACCAAGGACCCCACAGTTCAACCCCTGAGCTACAAATATTCTCTTATAAAATCTCGGTAGCTGCAACTTAACATTTTTCTTTGCGTAGCATTGGGGAACCCTGCTGAAAAGAGGATTATTATGATTATTTTTTTACCTTTAATCATCTGTGCACGACGGCATGATTCACTGGAGTTGAAGGACGACTCTTAAGCTCCGGGGTCCAGTTATCCTGCCAGAGGCTTGTAAAATAAAGCACTGATTTAAATCTTGGGATTCTGTTTGCAGCTTTAACGTCTGCCCCCAGAACTGCTCTGGCCGAGGGGAATGTCGGCCTGGGAACGGCAGCCAAACGGTTGAATGCGAGTGTTGGGAACATTGGAAAGGAGAGGCCTGTGATATTCCCAATTGCCCAGAAGACTGTGGCTTTCCGGAAAGGGGTCACTGCAGCGTGAACGGAACTCAGGGCTGTGTCTGTTACCCTGGTTGGCAAGGTAGGTAAAAACTTTCCCATGGGGATCAATTGCACAGATGGGCATTTATTTGATGCCGTGAGATGGCTCTTCACTTTCATTTGCATCGCTTTCCTAACCAAGTATTTATACTTCATCACAGATGTCGTAGGAGGAGATCCGTGTTAGCCTATGGCAGGGGTCTCCAACCCGTGGCCCACTTCTAGGCTGTGAGCCATTTGGAATTGGCCCACGGAAACGGCAGGCGAGGGCGTAGCCCTCCATTTGCGTGACTATTCAGATTCAAGTCCAAAGTTTCAGCTCCTTATAGGCAGTCCTCATTTAGCAACCACAGTTGGCACTGGCAACTCAGTCATTAAGTGTTGCGGTCACTGTACGTGACTGCAACTAGGCTGATGATTTTACTTCGGCTCCCCTTCTGCTCCTCCATGGTTCGGAATGTTCACCACTCTGCCGGGATAATTAGCAAGAAGGAAATGAATGCGTCTTTTTACATTCCTTGGAGAGAAAGGGATTACAAGAGAATAAACAGGCACACTATAGGGCGCACACATTAAAAAGCATGTGCTGGTGCTGGAGAGATAGCTGAAACAAAGTACCTCTTTAGGCAGTTTCTTCTGTACCTGAACCTTTTAGTTCTCCCTCCCCCCTCCCCCCCTTGCAGAGTGGAGAGTTTGGAGAGAAGGGGATTACAAGAAAACAAGCAGGCACACAAAGAGGAATACACTGGCTGTTGCCAAGCATATTTTCATTGGCCAGTGCTAACATATTCCTTTCAGTGACTATTCCCCATTGTGAGCCTGCTTACTCTTCTATATGTTGTGACTTCAGCTTCCTGAGTCATTAAAACACATGAGTAGTCCCAAAAACCTCTTTTATTGCAACAGCTGTGAATTACGTTCATTCACAGCTGAGTCCCAATTAGTTGCAAAAAAAGTCCTTCTGAAGAAGTCCTTTGAGATAATCACCAACCTTTATCTCCCTTGACACTGCCAAAGACCTACTTGGCAAAGCCCCACGGAGTCCAGAATCAAACAGAGATGCCGACTGGGAACAGAATTAACAACATTGCTTTCCTGCAAAGGGCCCACGTGCCTTTGCTCCTCTTTTAAGCCTTATGGGAGGGGCCAATCATCTCCAGGCCTTACTCCCGAGTCGTCCCTTTTGTTTTAACTGTTTGTGCCTTCTGGTAGCTCTGCGCATGCGCGCAGAAATGGGGGACTCAGAAATGGGGGACTCAGTTGTAGCCGTAAGTCGACGACTACCTGTACAGTGGTGTATTAAGGTACCCGAGAGTGTAACGTATGGCGTGTTTTGCCCCTCGTAGGTATCGACTGCTCGGTTCCTATTCCGGCAAATCGCTCCTTTTGGACCCGGGACGAATTCTATATCCCCAAACTGCCACGCGCGTCTCACAAAGCCGTGGTCCAAGACGAGCTCATGTGGGTGATCGGCGGCTACATGTTCAATCACACGGACTCTCAGATGGTCTTGGCGTGAGTAACAGGCCTTTCTTCCGGGTGGATTTTAAGCGAGCAACGGAATGTAAATTTCTGCAGGTCTTTACACTAGAAATAGGCTTTTTGTATAACTATTGATCGTCGTGTGAATTTCTAACACCTTTGAGAAGACTTAGGCTCGTAAAAGCTAGACAGGTAAAGAATTCCTGGTGATTTAGAGACATGTGAGCTGGGGCGGCACAATGGTTAAAGTGCAGTATTGCAGGCTAACTCTGCCCACTGCCAGGAGTTCGATCCTGACCGACTTAAGTTTGATTCAGCCTTCCGAGGTCAATAAAATGAGGACTCCAGATCGTTGGGGGCAAGAGGCTGACTCTGTAAACCGCTTAGCAAGGGCTGAGCAGTACAGTGAAGCGGTATACAAGTCTAAGTATTATTGCTATGTGGTTTATTACAATCGTGGCTTTCTCAGCAATTGTATGAATTTGACTTCTTTGACTTCTTCAAAGATTGACTGATTACTTGGGAGTTATAAAGTAAAGATAAATAGCAATAGCACTTAGACTTATATACCACTTTACAGTGCTTTCCAGCCCTCTCTAAGCGGTTAAACAGAGTCAGCCTCTTGCCTCCAATGATCATTTTACCAACCTTGGAAGGACGGAAGGCTGAGTCATCCTGGAGCCTGGTGAGATTTGAACTGCCAAATTGCAGGCAGCCAGCAGTCAGCAGAAGTCGCCTGCAGTACTGCACTCTAACCCAGAGGTCTCTAACCTTGGCAACTTTAAGACTTGTGGAAAGCTGGCTGAGGAATTCTGGGAGTTGAAGTCCACAAGTCTTAAAATTGCCATGGTTGGAGACCCCTGCTCTAACCACTGTGCACTGTGGCTCTATAAACGTTTTTCCACTCTAGTCGTGCCCAACTCTAGGGGGTGCTGCTCATCTCCATTATTTTTTTAAATTTGATTTATATGCCGCCCTTCTCTGGAGACTCAGGGCGGCTTACAGTGCGTTAAGCAATAGCCTTCATACTTTTGTATATTTTATACAAAGTCAGCTTATTGCCCCCACAAACTGGGTCCTCAATTTACCTACCTTAGAAAGGATGGAAGGCTGAGTCAACCTTGAGCCTGGCGAGATTCGAACTTACTTTAATTGCAAACAACTGGTGTTAAATTACAGTGCTTTAGTCTGCAGAGCTATCCAGGCTCCATTTCTTAGCTGAGAGAGCCAACATTGTCCAAAGACATTTCCGTGCTCATATGACCAGCATGGCTAAATGACAAAGGCAGACGGAACGCTGTTCCCACTGAAGTGGTACCCATTTATATACTTGCATTTGCACGCTTTCGAACTGCGAGGAGGGCAGGAGGTGGAGCAAGGAGCAGGAACTCATCCCGTTGTCACGCGGCGCTCGGGTCTGTCGGCTTTCCAGCTGACAAACTCAGCGTCTTTAACCGCTGAGCTACCGTGTCCCCACATTTGGACTTACACGTCCCTTGAATGATCATATTTTTATAAAGTCTTTACTAAGCATTTATAGGACAGGCGATTTCAACCACCCACATGGAAGTCTGATGTTAAATATTATAAACCAAATTTATTGGGCTCCAGTGGCCGTGTTACTCTCCTATAGGTGGGCATTCCTCTACACACCTTCACAGCCCTTTTGGTTCGCCCCTCCACAACAGTCCCAGTTCCTCACGTGCCCCCTTGGGAAAATGAATTGCCCACCCCCACTTAAGAGACTAGAGCGGCTTCTCCACCGTTTCTGCCAGCAGGTGAACATTTTTCTCATTTAACGTGTGTGATTTTTTTTAAAAAAGCCTCTTGTGCCGTATCTCACAGGTGCAGAATATGGTAATATAAAGATGGATCATTGCTTATTTTGTCCCTGGTGGGTTTTTTCCTCTTTTGTGATTTTGTGTGGGTGAACTGCATTCATTTGTTTTCTTCAGAGGAGAAAAACGGGGTAGATAGCTTTGTTTTCTGCAATAAATTATGTCAATGTTTGACTAATTCACTTTCCTGACGGAGAGATCTTTGGCTCTGTCTGACCTTGGTTGTTGGCTTGTAGACGTTTCATTACCCAAACTAGGTAACATCATCAGGGCTAGTAAGGAACAGGGTTTGCTCTCAGTTTACATACTAGTGGCTTGCCAAACTCAGAGAGCATCAAGGACCCCATAGTCGTCGTCCTCTTCCTCCCCCTCCTCCCCCTTCCTTCTCCTCCTCCTCTTCTTCTTCCTCTTCTTCAACTTCGTCTTCCTCTTCTTCCTTCTCACCTCTTTTCCTTCCCGTCTTCCTTCATTCCTCCTCTTCTTTTTCTTCCCCTCGTCCACCTCTTCTTGCTGTTCTCCCTGCTTCTCCTCCTCCTCCCCTCTTTTCCTCCCCCTCTTCCTCTTCTTCCTCCTCTTCCTCCTCCTCCTCTTCCCCTTCTTCTTTTTCTTCCCTTCCTCCACCTCCTCTTCCCCCTTCCTTCTCCTCCTCCCCTCTTTTCCTTCCCCTCTTCCTCTTCCTCCTCCTCCTTCTCCTCTTCTCCTTCTTCTTTTTCTTCCCCTGCTCCACCTCCTCTTGCTCTTACCCCCTGTTCTCCTCCTCCTCCCCTCCCCTCTTCCTCTTCTTCCTCCTCCTCCTTCCTCCTCCTCCTCACCTCTTTTCCTTCCCCTTTTCCTTCCTTCCTCTTCTTCTTTTTCTTCCCCTCCTCTCCCTCCTCTTGGTCTTCTCCCTGCTTTTCCTCCTCCTCCCCTCCTTTCCTCCCCTCTTCCTCTTCTTCCTTTCCTTCTTCCTCTTCCTCCTCTTCAATTTCATCCTCCTCCCCCTTCTTCCTCTCCTCTTCCTTTTCCTCTTCCTCCTCTTCTTCCTCTTCTTCCCTCCTCTTCAATTTCGTCTTCCTCCCTCTTCCTCTTCCTCTTCTTCTTCTTCCCCTCCTCCTCCTTCCCCTCTTCCTCCTCCACCTCCTCTTGCTCTTCCCCCCTGCCTCCTCCTCCCCTCTTTTCCTCCCCTCTTCCTTTTCTTCCTCCTTCCTTCTTTCTCTTCTTCTTCCTCCTCCTCCTCTTCTTTCTCTTCCTCCTCTTCAATTTTGTCCTCTCCCTTCTTCCTCCCCTCTTCCTCTTCTTCTTCCCCTCCTCCTCCTCCTCCTCCCCCTCCTCCTCCTCCATTCCACAAACGCCCCTCCCTTCTGGCCCTGATGATGTTACCTAGTTGGGTCATAAAAAGCCACAAAGCTCAGAGAACCCCGAGGCCCCCACCGTTCAACCCCCGAGCTACAAATATTCCCCTTTATTACTTTTCTTGAGCCTTTAGGATTTTCTGAAAAAGACACAGTGGTAAAGAAAACCTGGTCGTTTACGTCTTCGTGTGTGTAGATCCTCAATTCTTCTAGAAGAGACGCTGCTGGTTCTCCGGCTCCCTCGAACAATTTCCAAGAGGGGCGTGTGAGGTCGCCACTAAAGAAATGGGAGAAGAGCTGCCCTCCTGTTTCCATTGTTCCCTCCATGAATAGTTTTCAGCATTAGCGCCAACGGTTTCTTTGCTATATATATATATATATTAAAAAAAAGCAGAATAGCCAGATACCTAAATCCGCTTTGCTTTTATTGACATACCAGGTTCGTCCATAAAGTATCTCCTGCCTTTCTCCCTTCGGCTTTCCTTTATTTTTCTCCTTCGGTGTGGCGGCTTTGTTCTCCCGTGCGAAAGAGACACAGGTGTTGTGTTTTGTGCTTTTTAATCACACAGGTATAATCTGGAGTCCAGACAATGGATGACCTTGGGCAGTTCTGTGAACACCGTGGGAATCAGATATGGGCATTCAATAGCCTTACACGAAGTAAGTGGCTTTTTATTCCTTTTTTTTGTGGGGGGGGGGGGGGGGGGTTTCTTGAGACTTTTCCAATTTGGCTCAGATCCGAAACCTGGCTTAGATGACAGTGGCGCAGATAGTCCTTGAGTTACGACAGTGGCTTTAGTGACCGTTCGGAGTTACAACAGCCCTGAAAAAAAGTGACTTATGGCTCTTTCTCCCACTTAACAACTGTGGTGTGCAGCATCCCCTGAGGTCCCCTGATCAAAATTCAGATGCCTGGCAACGGAGTCGTATTTATGACCATCGCGGGGTCCCACGATCCCCTTTTGCGACCTTCTGAGGAGCAAAGTCCATAGGGAAGCCAGATTCACTTAACAAGAGTGTCACTAAGTTCACAAGTGAGGTGATTTTACTTAACAACCCTGTCAAGAAAAGTCATACAATGGGGAATATCCATATTTAACAAGTGTCTCCCTTAGCCACAGAAATTTTGGGGGTCAATTGTGGTTGTAAATTGAGGACTACCTGTAAAATCAAGGGTGAACGTAGTAATCTAGAAAAAAATCACCCCGGTCCCTTTTTTTTCTTGCATTTTTAAAATACAGGTAGTCCTCAATTTACAACCACAATTGACTTCAAAATTTCTGTCGCTAAGTGAGACTTACAACAGTTCATTTAGTGACCATTCAAAGTTATAACAGCACTGAAAAAAAAGGACTTAATGACGGTTTTTCACACTTACGACACTTAAGAAAGGTTAACAACTGTCTCACTTAGCAACTGAAATGTTGGGCTCAGTTGCGGTCCTAAGTGGAGGACTGCCTGTTATAATGGGTGGCTGCCACGATGGGTGGATTGTCGGGATAGAATCCTAACACGTCCGTCAATACTGTCAGGGTAATGATTTAAGAGCTGACCAGCTGCTACGATGATGTAATGCTGGGAATGAGTCAGCAAGGTTTTTGGGCTGATATCACTTTAAGAGCCTGTAATAAGAAGAGGCCTTGTTGACCTCTCCGTGTGTGTGTGTGTGTGTGTGTGTGTGTGTGTGTGTGTGTGTGTGTGTTCCGTGCTGTAATTGCTGATTGCTGTTTGTTTGAGGTCTGACTAAAGTATGTGTATGTATATATTCTTTGTAGATAAAAATCACTATTTAAATACAAATCTCTGTTTACTGTATTTGCTCCTGGATTGTCTCACTAGTCACACTGTGCGCACTCTGATGAGTATCCTCTCTCTGCAACCTGTTTCTTCTAGAACAAAATCTACATGTACGGAGGCAAGATAGACGAAAGCGGCAACGTAACCACTGAGCTCTGGGTCTTCCACATCTCCAACCATTCCTGGGTTCCCCTGGCGCCAAAGGCCAAGGAGCAGTACGCCGTGGTGGGCCACTCCGCCCACATGGTCACCCTGCAGGACGGCTCGGCGGTAATGCTGGTCCTCTTCGGGCACTGCCCTCTTTACGGCTATATCAGCAGCGTGCAGGAGTACAATCTAGGTGAGTGTTGGCTTGGCGTGACTTTCACTCTTGGATAGAATAACAGAGTCAGAAGGGACCTTGGAGGTCTTCTAGTCCAACCCCCTGCTCAGGCAGGAAACCCTACGCAATTCAACACACATGGTTGTCCGATCTCTTCTTAAAAACCTCCAGTGATGGAGGACCCACAACTTCTGGAGGCAAGCTGTTCCATCGGTTAATTGTTCTCATCTACGGGAAATTTCTCCTTAGTTCTAGGGCAAAAACAGCCTCCCCCACCCTCCTGGAGGCCGGAAACAGACTTCTGGTGGGCTGGAAATGCCCGAAGATCAGGTCACTGGCACACGCATGCGTGCTGGAGCTGAGCTAGGGCAACGCTCGTGTGCAGACAGATATTGCTGTGGCACGCGTGCTATAGGTTCGCTATCACGGGCCTAGGGAACAAAGCCATTACAGAATCTGGATTTCCATCCGTTACTTCTTGTCCTGCCTTCAGGTGCTCAGGTTCTCTCGGAGCTTGGTGGTTTTCCTGCAGACGTTTCTTGACCCAACTAGGTATCGTCATCAGTGCTCTGATGTTACCTAGCACTGATGGTGTTACCCAGTTTGTGTAATGAAAGCTCTGCAGGAAAACCACTAAGCTTAGAGAACACCACGGAGCCTGCAGTCCTCCTCCTTTTCCTCCTCCCTCCTCTTCCTCCCCCCTCCCTTCTAGCACTGATGATGTTACCTAGTTGGGTCATGAAAGGTCTGCAAGAAACCAACTAAGGTCAGAGAGCACCAAGGACCCCACTGTCTTCTCCCTCCCCTCCCTCCTCTTGCAAACCCCTCCCCCTTCTAGCATTGATGAAATCTCTCTCTCTCTCTCTGTGTGCAGAGACGTGAGTTTGCATGTGTGTCAGAGAGATGTGTGCAAGCAAACCAGCAAGCTCAGAAAACACCAAGGACCCCACAGTCCTCCCCTCCTCCTTTCCATAGCCACCCCTCCCTTCCAGCACTGATGATACTCCCTAGTTGAGTCATGAAACATCTGCAAGCAAACCAGCAAGCTCAGAGAGCACCAAGGACCCTTCATTTCCACCCTGAGCTGCAAATATTCTCCTTTATTAATTTCCGTTAAGGCTTCTTCTCCCTTGGCCTCCTAGCCTCCCTTGTCACAGATTCCCATCTCAGAGCGTTGGCACTCTTTTGGCTTTTCCATCTCCTTCTCCTTGATCCTGCGCAAACCATAAATCCTCTTGAGCAGAGCTGGTGTCTCTTTTGTGTACTTCTGTCTAGTGTTGCGTTTTGTGCCCGGATCTCTTGTAGACAAACACTCAGATAGAAGTGCATAGCAGAAATGGTATATTAACTCTTTAACATCCTGCTTGCTTAGTCCTGTGTGTTTGTGTGTGTAGGAGCAGAACCTCTGTCCCATAGGTGCTTTTTTCAGGAGGCAAGTGGATTTTCTGGTTTTTCTTTGAAGACGTTTCGCTTCTCATCCCAAGAAGCTTCTTCAGCTCTGACTGACTAGTGGGAAATGGAAGGATTGATATTCCTTGCAGACAGCTGGTCATTTGCAACCTTTTAGAACAGTGTTTCTCAACCTTGGTAGCTTGAAGATGGGGGGACTTCAACTCCCAGAATCCCCCAGCCAGCAGCACTCAGACAAAACGGCCATCAACGGGCACATAGAGATGGACCACATTTACACACCATTCAAAAGAGACAATCAAAAAGCTAAAAGATCACTGCACTTCCTGGCCAGAAATAAAATACCCACAAGAGCAGAGATTAACACAGTGTTTCTCAACCTTGGTAGCTTGAAGATGGGTGGACTTCAACTCCCAGAATCTCCCAGCCAGCGCTGCTGGCTGGGGGATTCTGGGAGTTGAAGTCCACCCATCTTCAAGCTACCAAGGTTGAGAAACACTGTTTTAGATGGTTTTTGAGGCCACTTGGAGGTTTATCTGTGTCCTTGGGGTCACCTGAGTGGTGCAAATGGTTCCTGTAGCCTGCAGATTTTTCCCCTCTGGAAATCCATTCCGACTCCCACGTCGTTCAAAGGTGGTTCATCCCAAATTGCATTGCTAAAAATCTGTAGAGATTCTCTGTCATCCAAGGTCATGGTTGTTCCAAAGGTGCTTTTTTTCAGAAGGCAACTGGACTTCCTTTGCCTTTTCTTTTGAAGACGTTTCGCTTCTGATCCAAGAAGCTTCTTCAGCTCTGACTGGATGGTGGGGAATGGAAGGATGGTTATTCCTTGCAGACTTCTAGTCATTTGCATCCTTTTAGGGGGTCCCTGAAGCACTAGGAGGCAGGGGTGGGATTCAAAAATTTTAGCAATCAGTTCTCTGCCCGGTTGCTGGGTGGGCGTGGCCACGGTGGGCGTGGCCTACTCAGCCTCCTGCACCATGACAGGGGGGCGTTTTTGCCCTCCCCAGGCTCCGGAGGCCCTCCGGAGGCTGGGAATGGGCCTGTTTCCAGACTTCTGGAACTTCCGAGAGGCCTGTTTTTCGCCCTCCCCAGGCTCCAGAGGTTTTCCTTGAGCCTCCAGGAGGCCGAAAACGGGCACCGCAGGCCCTCCGGAGGCTGGAAACACGCCAGTTTCTAGACTTCCAGAACTTCCGAGAGGCCCGTTTTCACCTTCCCAGAGCCTCCACACGGGCCCTGCACTTACCTGGCATCCAAAATGGGCTGCGTGGAGACTCCTGGGTGAGGAGGGGAGGGGAGGGGTGGGAGGGCCAGCCAGTCCTGCAACTACCGGTTCGGTGAACCAGATGTAAAATTACCATCCGGTTCGTCCGAATTGGTCTGAATTGGCTGAATCCCACCCCTGCTTGGTAGTTTATCTGTCTCCTCAGGATCACCTTGAGTGGTGCAAATGGTTCCTGTAGCCTGCAATTTTTTCCCCCTCTGGAAATCCATTCCTACTCCCACACCATTCCAAGGGTGTCCATCCCAAATTGTAGAGCTAAAAGTCTGTAGAGATTCTCACTCGTCCAGGTCATCGTTGTCCCAAAGGAGCTTTTTCCAGGAGGCAACTATCCTGTCAGAGCCGAAGAAGCTTCTTGGATGAGAAGTGAAACGTCTTCCAAAGAAAAACCAGAAAGTCCAATTACCTCCTGAAAAAAAAAAAAAGCACCTTTGGGACAACGGTGACCTTGGATGACGGAGAATCTCTACAGACTTTGAACAGAACTTCTGTCTGTCATCCAGTTTTAGGCATTGACATGATCCCTAGCTGAAAAGCAACTGTTGAGAAAGCACTTACTTGAAAACTAGGAGAGATACCACTATGGATAGTCCTCGACTTAAAACAGTTCATTTAATGACCGCTCAAAGCAGTGGTGAAATCTGAACCGGTTTACTACCAGTTCGCTGGTGGCGCAGGCGCAGTTCGCACCAGGCACCAAATGCGAGGTGCGCGCGTGCGCAGTGCACGCCAAAAGGAGGCATGCGGTGAGTAGAACAGCGCGCGAGGGGGGTGTGTGATCAGCTGTGGCGCGCAATCTTTTTTTTCCACTTTTAAAAGCATTGCTTTTAAAAGTTAAAAAAAAAAAAGCCTCTGACGATCGGGCGGCTCAGCTGGGATCGTCAGAGCCTTTTAAAAGCATTTTTTCTACAACCTCTTCGGCCGAAGAGGTAGAAAAAATGCTTTTAAAAATAAAATTAAAAAAAAGCCTCTGATGATTGCGTGGCTCAGCTGGGCATGGGGGGGGAGGGATTTTGCTACCAGTTCTCCGAACCACCCGCCTCCATCGCTACCGGATCAGGCGATCCGGTCCGAACTGGGAGCATTTCACCCCTGGTTCGAAGTTTCAATGGTACTGAAAATGTGACTTAGGACCATTTTTCATACTTAATTGTTTCGTGATCTCGTGTTCGAAATTCAGACGCTTTATTTATTTATTTATTTTTTTAAAATTTATATACCGCCCTTCTCCCGAAGGACTCAGGGTGGTGAACAGCCAAAGGTAAAAACACAAAATACAAAAATTTAAAAGCAATTAAAAAATAAATTAAATAATTTGGCCCAACAGTTTAAATACCCCATTAAAACTCAGATTAAAATTAAACCATTTAAAAATTTTAAAAAATTAGGCCAGCCCGGCTTAGCAACTGACTCACATTTATGACGATCTCAGTGTCCCGGGGGTCACGTGATCCCCTTTTGTGACCTCCTGACAAGCAAAGTCAATGGGGAAGCCAGATTCGCTTCACGACCGTGTTCCTAACTTAACGACTGTAGTGATTCGCTTAACAACCGTGACTCAAAAAGTCGTAAAATGGGGCAACATTCACTTAACAACTGTTCTGCTTAGCAGCGGAAATGTTGGGCTCAGTTGTGGTCATAAATTGAGCGTTGCCGGTATTAAAGCCAGTAGCACGGTTGCTAAGTGAATCCGGCTTCTCCCCCTTGACTTTGCTCGTCAGACGGTCGCAAAAAGGGATCGGGTGATGGTCATAATTATGAGTCGGTGGCCAAGCGTCTGAATTTTGATCCTCTGACTGATGGGATGGGTGCAACGGTCATAAATATGAAAAATGGACATCAGTCGCTTTTTCCCCCCCATAACGTCGTAAACTTTGAACGGTCACTAAACGAACTGTTATAACCCGAGGACTACCTGTTCCACGATCCTCAGTCAACTAGCTAAAATAATTGTCATGACTGAGGATTGTGGGATTCCCAGCATCTTCGGAGAACAAGTTCCAGTTGGTCCAGTCGGTAGTATCTGAAAATTCAGCGGAGCTCGCTCAAACATCCGCCTCTCCTTCTCTCCTATAGCCACAAACACATGGAGCATTTTACAAACCCGAGGAGCCCTGGTGCAAGGAGGATACGGCCACAGCAGCGTGTACGACGAAAACTCCAACTCCATCTATACCCACGGGGGTTACAAGGCGTTCAGCGCTAACAAATACAGGCTGACGGACGACCTGTACAAATACGAAGTTCGTAAGTACAAGTGGTAAGTATATATGTATTGAGTTGCGAAGCCTGGTGTACGTGTGTGTGTGTGGGGGGGCAGGGAGTGCAGCTTAGCCTTTCATGGGGTTGTGATTCTCCCTCGGTGAGTAACTTGCAACTTGAGTTTCCCCTAGATTTTCAGCTACTTCTGCAGGAATAGAGAGGGCTGGGAAGCACTTGTGAAGCGGTATATAAGACTAAGGGCTACTGCTATTCTCCCTCTTTCCCTCCTTCCCTCCCTCTCTCCTTCTTTTGCATCCTTTTCTTTCTACGTTTCTTTTCTTTCCTTCCCTCTACTGTCTCCTTCCTTCCTTTCTTTTTCCCCTGTTTTTTTTCTCCTGCTCCCTCCATCTCTTATTTCTCTTTCTCTTTTTCTCTCCCTCTTCTTTCCTCTCCTTCCTTCCTCCTTCCTTCCCTCCTTTTTTCTTTCTCCTTTTCTTTCTTTCTCTTCCTTCCTTTCTCTCTCTTGTAAGAGCTGTGGTGGCGCAGTAGTTAGAATGCAGTGTTGTAGGCAAAACTCTTCCCACTCTCAGGAGTTCGATCCTGACTGACTCAAGGTTGACTCAGCCTTCCATCCTTCCGAGGTCGGTAAAATGAGGACCCAGATCGTTGGAGGCAAGAGGCTGACTCTCGCTTAGAGAGGGCTGTAAAACCCTGTGAAGCGGTATATAAGTCTAAGGGCTATTGCTATATTCCTTCCTCTCCTCTCTTCTCTCTCTCCTCTCCTCTCCTCTCCTCTCTCTCTCCTCTCCTCTCCTCTCCTCTCCTCTCCTCTCCCCTCCTCTCCCTCCCTCCCTCCTCTCCTCTCCTCTTCTCTCCTCTCTCCTCTCCTCTTTAATTCCCTTTCTCATTCTTGTTCCTGGTGGCGCAGTGGTTAGAATGCAGTACTGTAGGCTAATTCTGCCAACTGCCAGGAGTTCGATCCTGACCGGCTCAAAGTTGACTCAAAGCCTTCCATCCTTCCGAGATCGGTAAAATGAGGACCCACATTGTTAGGGGCGAGATGTTGTCTCTGTAAACCTCTCAGAGAGGGCAATAAAGCACTGTGAAGGGGTAGATAAGTCTAAGGGCTGTTGCTATTTCTTTTTTCCCCCTAAAAGAACATATTGCCAATTTGTGAAGAAATAAGATGGGTCCAATTCACGAACGAGCATGAAGCCGTGCAGCTTAGAAACAGGCCTGTCTCGATGTGATATAGGAACAAAGAAATGCCATGGCTAATTAAGCCACAAATGTTTGGGGAGTGACTGGCTTAGTTAAGATATTTGGTTCCAGCTGAAAGGAGAGAAGCAGCCAGTGCGTATTTTAAAACAAGGTAGCCTTTATTTCAGGCAGCTGATGCTGTACAATTGGAGAGTGTGTGTATCTATATATCTACATCTATATATCTATATCTATATCTATATCTATATCTATATCTATATATCTATATATCTATATCTATATCTATATCTATATCTATATCTATATCTCTCTCCTTGGAAGTATTTCCGTGCTTGCGCATTTTAAATGAGAGCATCAAACTTAAATATGTACGTGGTTAATCAGACAGAAGATTATCTTGCTTGTATCAAAGATAAAATCGTATTTTATGGTCTGACTAGAGACAAATCTCGCTAAATTGTTGATCAAAGGCGGGGAATATAAAGGAGAGATAAGGCAGGAAGGAGCATGCCAAAGTCTGTCCCAGGATCCCCTATGAATAGGGATGGGGAACGATGGCCCTTTTAGGACCTGTGACCTCAATTCCCAGAATTCCTGAGGCAGCATGAGGAAACGATGGCCCTTTTAGGACCTGTGGACTTCAATTCCCAGAATTCCTGAGCCAGCATGAGGGAACGATGGCCCTTGTAGGACCTGTGGACTTCAATTCCCAGAATTCCTGAGCCAGCAAGAGGGAACGATGGCCCTTTTAGGACCTGTGGACTTCAATTCCCAGAATTCCTGAGCCAGCATGAGGGAACGATGGCCCTTTTAGGACCTGTGACTTCAATTCCCAGAATTCCTGAGCCAGCATGAGGGAACGATGGCCCTTTTAGGACCTGTGGACTTCAATTCCCAGAATTCCTGAGCCAGCATGAGGGAACGACTGCCCTTTTAGGACCTGTGGACTTCAATTCCCAGAATTCCTGAGCCAGCATGACGGAACGATGGCCCTTGTAGGACCTGTGGACTTCAATTCCCAGAATTCCTGAGCCAGCATGAGGGAACGACTGCCCTTTTAGGACCTGTGGACTTCAATTCCCAGAATTCCTGAGCCAGCATGAGGGAACGATGGCCCTTTTAGGACCTGTGGACTTCAATTCCCAGAATTCCTGAGCCAGCATGAGGGAACGACTGCCCTTTTAGGACCTGTGGACTTCAATTCCCAGAATTCCTGAGCCAGCATGAGGGAACGATGGCCCTTGTAGGACCTGTGGACTTCAATTCCCAGAATTCCTGAGCCAGCATGAGGGAACGACTGCCCTTTTAGGACCTGTGGACTTCAATTCCCAGAATTCCTGAGCCAGCATGAGGGAACGATGGCCCTTTTAGGACCTGTGGACTTCAATTCCCAGAATTCCTGAGCCAGCATGAGGGAACCATGGCCCTTTTAGGACCTGTGGACTTTGATTCCCAGAATTCCTGAGCCAGCCATGACTGGCTTAAGAATTCTGGGAATTGAAGTCCACAGGTCCTAAAAGGGCCATTGTTCCCCACATCTTCCTTATGGAGCTACAATTATGTCCCCTCCCCAATTGTTTTTCACACAGGTGTATGGAAATTACTGGCAATTTTCTCCCACAACCGGGAGAAAAAACATCAGAGAAAGATTTAAGGGGGAAAATAAGATCAAATAATAAAAGCATTTCTCAGCCCTCCCCTAGGAATCTTAACTCACTTTATTAGGAGTCGGTGATTCAATTTCATTTCTTTCTCTTTTTTTTTTTTTTCCTTTCTCGCTTTCTGATCCTTCGCTGCCTCTCGCCAAGAAACATTATTTGGTGGTGGTATTATTATTATTTTTTTTTAATACCTCAGGGGACAGCCTAGAAGAGCGAGACAGAGACGGTGTTTTGAACCCCTGTTTCTTTCCTTCCTTTCTCCAGGACTATTCTGAAAGAGAGCCGGTTCTCCCGCTATTTGCATTCGGCGGTCATCGTCAGCGGGGCCATGTTGGTTTTCGGAGGAAACACCCACAACGACACCTCCATGAGCCAGGGGGCGAAGTGCTTCTCTTCAGACTTCATGGCCTACGATATAGGTAGGCTCCATGTCGGCCAGGGGTGAAATCTCCGGTAATAAAAATGAAATAAAAGCGAGGACTACCTTTTGCCGATTATATCAGGTCGTCCTCGACTTAACGACCGCAGTCAAACCCAATATTTCTGTTGCTAAGGGAGGCGTTGGTTAAAGGAGCTTTGCCCCCCCCACGTTACAACTTTCCTGGCCACGGTTGTTAAGCGAGACATCGCATTTGACAAAGTCAGTAAGCCGGTTGTTAAGTGAACCTGCCTTCCTTCCCGCGTTGACTTTGCTTGTCAGAAGGTCGCAAAAGGGGATCACGTGATCCCGGGACACTGCGACCGTCATAAAGGTGAGTCAGTTGCCAAGAAGATCTGAGTTTTTCATCATGGGGATGCTGCAATGGTCATTAAGTGTGAAAAATGGTCCTAAGTCACTTTTTTTTAACTCCGTTGTCATTTTAAAAACGGTCACTAAATGAATGGTTGTAAGTCGAGGACTACCTGTAATCCATCTGGGGGACTATGGAAGAGACCACAAGGGGAGGTTTCCTGGCATGGCTCTCCTGTCCCTTAAGTGGCAGATTTCTTCACTCTATAAAAATCAATTACAGGTAGTCCTTGGCTTACGACCACAATGGAGCTCAACATTTCTGTTGGTAACCGAAACAGTGGTTAAGTGAGTTTTGCCCTATTTTACCACCTTTCCGGCCACAGTGATTAAGTGAATCCCTGCGGTTGTTAAGTTAATAACACGGTTGTTAAGCGAATCTGGCTTTGCTTGCCAAAAGGTCGCAAAAGGGGATCACGAGACCCCCCCAGGACGTTGCAACCGTCATAAATACGAGTCAGTTTGCCAAGCGCCTGAATTTGGATAACATGATCGTGGGAACGGTTCAAAGGTCGTAAGTGTGAAAAAAACATTCGTGAGTCCCTTTTTCCAGCGTTGTTGTAACTCCGAACGGTCAGTGAACGAAGGGTTGTAAGCTGAGGACTGCCTGTAGATATGAAAATAGAGCTTTGATTAGATAGGAAAAAAGAACTTCTGGAATAATGTAAATGTATTTTTTTTTTTGCTGTGTATTCAGCCTGCAGAAATGGGGGCTTTTCACAATTTGGTAGCCAGAGGAGGGCAGCATTCAATCAATCCTTCCTGTCAGGGCTCAGTTCAAGAGGAGGAACGGATCCGTTGATACCCAGGAGAATTAATTCCGCGCCCTCTATTCATGCAAACCCATTGTTGGTTTGCTTTCAATCAGGCGCGTCCAAACCGCAGCCTGAGGGTCATGTGCGGCCCTGAACAGCTAGTATTGCAGCCCCACAAGAGTGGGGGACGGTGAGTTCATGAGGCATGAAAGCTGGCTGGGTGACTTTAGGCCAATCACCTGGACGGGGATGGTGAGTTCTAGTCCCGCCTTAGGGTACGAAAGCCAGCTGGGTGGATTTGGGCCAATCACCAGGAGACAGTGAGTTGTAGTCTCACCTTAGGTATGAAAACGGTGGGTGACTTTGGGCCAATCACCAGGAGATGGTGAGTTCTAGTCCCAGTTTAGGCATGAAAGCTGGCTAGGTGACTTTGGGCCAATCACCAGGAGACGGTGAGTTCTAGTCCCAGTTTAGGCATGAAAGCTGGCTAGGTGACTTTGGGCCAATCACCTGGAGATGGTGAGTTCTAGTCCCAGTTTAGGCATGAAAGCTGGCTAGGTGACTTTGGGCCAATCACCAGGAGACGGTGCATTCTAGTCCCAGTTTAGGTATGAAAGCTGGCTAGGTGACTTTGGGCCAATCACCTGGAGATGGTGAGTTCTAGTCCCTCCTTAGGAATATAGACAGCTGGGTGACTTTGGTCTAATCACTAGGAGATGGTGAGTTCTAGTGTCCCATAGGCATGAAAGCTGCTGGGTGACTTTGGGCCAATTACCAGGAGTTCTAGTCCCAGTTTAAGCATGAAAGCCGGCTAGGTCTTTGGGCCAATCACCAGGAGACAGTGAGTTCTAGTCCCGCCTTAGGAATAATAGACAGTTGGGTGACTTTGGGCCAATCACCAGGAGACGGTGAGTTCTAGTCCCTCCTTAGGAATATAGACAGCTGGTTGACTGGTCTAATCACTAGGAGATGGTGAGTTCTAGTGTCCCATAGGCATGGGCATGAAAGCTGCTGGGTGACTTTGGGCCAATTACCAGGAGAGCTTGAGTTCTAGTTCTGCCTTAGGCATGAAGGCCGGCTGGGTGACTTTGGGCCAATCACCAGGAGACTGGGAGTTCTAGTCCCATTTTAGGCATGAAAGCCAGCTGGGTGACTTTGGGCCAATCACCAGGAGACTGGGAGTTCTAGTCCCAGTTTAAGCATGAAAGCCGGCTAGGTCTTTGGGCCAATCACCAGGAGACGGTGAGTTCTAGTCCCGCCTTAGGAATAATAGACAGTTGAGTGACTTTGGGCCAATCACCAGGAGACGGTGAGTTCTAGTCCCGCCTTAGGAATAATAGACAGTTGGGTGACTTTGGGCCAATCACCAGGAGACGGTGAGTTCTAGTCCCGCCTTAGGAATAATAGACAGTTGGGTGACTTTGGGCCAATCACCAGGAGACGGTGAGTTCTAGTCCCAGTTTAGGTATGAAAGCTGGCTAGGTGACTTTGGGCCAATCACCTGGAGATGGTGAGTTCTAGTCCCCATAGGCATGAAAGCTGCTGGGTGACTTTGGGCCAATTACCAGGAGATGGTGAGTTCTAGTTCTGCCTTAGGCATGAAAGCCGGCTGGATGACTTTGGGCCAATCACCAGGAGACGGTGAGTTCTAGTCCCAGTTTAAGCATGAAAGCCGGTTAGGTCTTTGGTCCAATCACCAGGAGACGGTGAGTTCTCGTCCCGCCTTAGGAATGATAGACAGTTGGGTGACTTTGGGCTAATTCCAAGGAGACAGTGAGTTCTAGTCCCATCTTAGGCATTCAAGCCGGCTGGGTGAGTTTTGGCTAGTCTCTCTTCCTCTCAACGCAGCCCACCTCACAGGGTTGTTTTTGTGGTGAAAGCATGCAGAGGAAGGTGTTTTGGATATGTTTACCGCCTTGACGTATTTGTCAAAATAAACGTGGGATTCGGATAAATAAAATAATACAATAAGTAACATATTAAAAAACGAAGGACCTCTGTAATTTATACACATTGCCTCTATTATATATTTTATAAGCGTCCCAAGGCCATTCCTCTTCACTCAGTGTGGCCCAGGTGAGCCAAAGTGCTGGATAAACACGGTTGGGAGGAAAACCTCCCTGATATCTTGAGTGATTATTTTGCCTCCTGTGTCGTAAGCCAGAATTTAGCATTTATTCATCCTTTGCTGCCGGAGCCTTCCGTGAAGCCTCTGAAGACGACTTCAGAACTGCCAAAGGTCTTTAGCTATCATGGCTAAGAGGACCATATATAATAACCTTCTAATATCAACTGTGCTCAAATCCTGGGCACATACACAGAAAGCCCAACTCCGTTCATCGGCTGTGCAGAGGGTTATAAATTCCCGTGGATCCCCGAACAATAAATCTTAACTCGGCTGGGCCCGAAAGGTCAGGAAGGAAATAATTCTTGGTAGTTGCTTAGCCTTGAGCTTTCCTCCTTTCTTCATTTGATTCCTCGCAAGAGAGAGAGAGAGAGAGAGAGAGAAAGAAAGGGGCATTGATTCCGAGTGCTTCTCCTTAACTAGAAAAATATATTGGTTGGCTTCGGAGCGAGGGATTCGCATTGAATGCTGTGGCATAATGCGCTGGAAAAAATTGCATGGCCTCCTTTCCCCAAACGAAACAGTACCGTTAATTGTCAGAGCCCCAGTCGAATCTCTGCCATAAAACGAATGGGCTCACATGGCAAGGAACAAAACGACAATGGATTTATATTTCCATTTATTTCTTTTGAATGGCCTCGAATGTATCCATGTACAGGCAGTTCGTTTAATGACCGAAGAAGTTACAACGGCCCCCGAAAAAAGGGACTGATGGACCGTCTTTCACACTTACGACGGTCATGTGATTTACATTCAGATGCCCAACAACTGAGTCGCATTTATGACGGTGTCAGTGTCCCCGGGTCACGTGACCCTCCCCCCCCTTTTTTTGCATCCTTCTGACGAGCAAAGTCAGTGGGGAAAGCCGGATTCACTTAACAACCAGGTCACCAACTTAACAACCGCAGTGATTCAATTAACAACGGAGGCAAGAAAGGTCTTGAAATGGGGCACCACTCACTTAACAAATGTCTCATGTAGCAACATAAATTTGGGGATGAGTTGCGGTTGTAAGTTGAGGACTACGTGTACCATTAAATGTAAGAGCCAGTAATTGAATGGGCTTACGTGCCAAGGAACAAAACAACAATGGATTTCTTTCTATGGCCCCGGATGTGTCCATATACAGGTAATCCTCGACTTACAACATTTCACTTAATGACCGAACTTACAATGGCACATGAAAAAAATGCGGCTTATGACCATCTTTCACACTTATGACCGTTGCATCCTTCCCTCATCTCCATGGTCAAAATTCAGATTTCCTTGGCAAGGGATTCATACTTATGACGTTTGCAGCGTCCCGGGGTCATGTGACACACCCTTCCCCCTTTTTGCATCCTTCTGACAAGCAAAGTCAAGGGGGGGGAAGCCGGTTTCACTTAACAACCGGATTACTAACTTAACAGCTGCAGGGATTTGCAGTAAAACGAGGCAAACCTCACCTCACAAATGTCTCGCTTGGTAGCAGAAATGTTGGACTCAACCGGGGTCGTATGTCGAGGACTATCCGTAATTTATTAAACCAACCGGCTGCCCGAAATTATTCTTCTAAATGATGCTGAACGTGTTAGGAGTCCAATCTCCGGTTGGCCTTGTTTGGGTATCCATAAAGGGCAAATGCTTCCAGAAACTGAATAAAGCAATAACTTTTGGGGATGGAACAGTATCGCCGAGTCTGAAAAATCACTCCGTCGTCCTCAAGAGCGGAAATCGGGAAACCCAAGCAATACCCAAGGCCTATAAGAATTTTAGTGTGGTGCAGTGGTTAGAATGCAGCGTTGCAGGCCAATTCTGCAGTTCGATTTGGACTGGCTCAAGGTTGACTCGGCCTTCCATCCTTCCGAGGTCGGTAAAATGAGGACCCAGATTGTTGGGGGTGATCATGCTGACATTGTAAACCATGCATAGAGTGCTGTACGTCATTGTGAAGCGGTATTTAATTCTAATCGCTGTGGCACCAAGGACCCTACAGTCCTCCTCCTCCTCCTCCCTGCAAACCCATCTAGCATTTTTTTTTTTTTTGCTTTAATTTATATGCCGCCCTTCTCCGGAGACTCAGGGCGGCTTACAATGCGCTAAGCAATAGCCTTCATACTTTTGTATATTTATACAAAGTCAGCTTATTGCCCCCACAATCCGGGTCCTCATTTTACCTACCTTGAAAGGATGGAAGGCTGAGTCAACCTTGAGCCTGGGGAGATTTGAACTAGCAGTAATTGCAGGCAGCTGAATGATAATAGCAGGCTATTAGTCTGCTGCGCCACCAGGCTCTTTACCCAACTAGGTAACATTGATGATGTTACCTAGTTGGGTCATGAAAGGTCTACAAGAAAACCAAGGTCAGAGAGTACCATGACCCCACAATCCTCCTCCTCTTCCTGCAAACCTCACTCCCTTCCAGCACTGATGTTATTCCTTAGTTGAGTTATGAAATGTCTTCAAGGAAATCACCAAACTCAGAGGGTACCAAGGACCCCACAGTCGTCGTCCTCCTCCTCCTCCTCCTCCTCCTCCTCCTCCTCCTCCTCCTCCTCCTCCTCCTCCTCCTCCTCCTCACAAATCCTACTCCTTTCTTGCATTGATGATGTTCCCTAGTTGGGTCATGAAAAATCTGCAAGAAACCAACCAAGCTCAGAGAGCACTTAGGACCCCACAGTCTTCCTCCTCCTCCTCGCAAATCCTACTCCTTTCTAGCACTGAGGACCGCACAGTCCTTCTCTTCCTCCCCCTCCTGATATGTTACTGATGACTGTACCGTTTCTACAACAGCGAAGTTGGGTCCTGAAACATCTGCAAGAAAAACAAGCAAGCTCAGAGAGCCCCAAGGAACCCTCGTTTCAATCCCGAGCTACAACTATTCTCCTTTGTTGCTATTTATATTTGCTGTGCAAATACTGCCACAGTTCCGTGCCCTTTAGAAGAACTCCCCCCGATTTCTGAATTGTCACTGACGTTTCTATGGGAATAAGCAAAGTTTTACTGCAGCCAAAGTGCCATCTGAATGCTTTTGAAACCAGCTTTTTTTTATTTTGCATCCTAGCTTGTGATCGCTGGGCGGTGCTTCCTCCACCTGATCTCCCCCACGACATCAACCGGTTCGGACACTCGGCTGTGCTGAGCAACAAGTAAGAGGCGGGTGTATCTTGCGTTGGGGTGGAAAGTGGTAGTAGGATGGGGAAAAGGGAGCCGAGGGCGGCTTTGTGGTTCCCGAAGAACCTTTCTAGGGCTTAAACATTTGTATTAGTTTGTTGAAATGTACAATACAAAAATACAAAGAAAAACAAGAAGAGTGGGAAAATAGGAAAGGAGAAGAGGAAAAAGTGCAGTGTAAAAGGGAAAAAAAAAAGAAAAAAAAGCATTGACTTCCAACAGTTTTGAGTTGCAGTAAAATAAGGAAATAACATGCAAGCTCATCTTTTTACTTTTGCATATTAATATGTACTAGCCATTTCTATAACAACAAGCCTATTTAAACAGCAAAACCCAAAATAAGGGTTGGTTTTTTTTGCCAGCTCAAGCACAAGGCCCAGAAGCGGTTTCCAAGTGGAAACAAACTTAATTGCATTCTTTTCTTTAATCAAAGCAGTCCATTTAGCCCTCTCTGCTAGCTCCATCAGCTTTTGCAGCCAGTCCTTTCATTTTTGTGCAGAGTATTCTTGCTGTTGGTGGGGGCCTGAAAAACCAACCATTTTAAGACCCCCCAAATCTCAGTTAATCTCCCCCAAATCTTGTTTGAGATACTTTCCCGGGACCTTATAATGCCTCTGCAGTGCCACTCATAAAATAACAAGAGCTGAAAGGGACCTTGGAGGTCTTCTAGTCCAACCCCCTGCTCAGGCAGGAAACCCTATACTATTTCAGACAAATGGCTGTCCAGTCTCTTCTTAAAAACTTCCAATGTTGGAGCACTCACAACTTCTGGTGGCAGGCTGTTCCACTGATTCATTGTTCTCACTGTCAGGAAATTCCTCCTTAGTTCTAAGTTGCTTCTCTCCTTGATTAGTTTCCACCCATTGTTTCTTGTCTTGTTCTTCTGGTGCTTTGGAGAATAGGTTGACCCGCCCCCCTCTTCTTTGTGGCAGCCCTCCAAATATTGGAAGACTGCTATCATATCACCCGTAGTCTTCTGAACCTTTACAGAATAACCGAGTTGGAAGGGACCTTGGAGGTCTTCTAGTCCAACCCCCTGCTTAAGCAGAAGACACTATTATCAGTGATAGCGAAACTTTTCGGCACCAAGTGCCCAAACTGGAACATGTCCGCTGTGTGCGCCAGACCACCAGAAAGCTGAAGACCAGCTGGCCAGTACACATGTGTGCACTGGCCAGCTGGTCTTCGGATTTCTAGTGGTCCGGCGCACGCAAAGACCACTTGGCCAGTGCGCATACATGGGCTGGAAACCAGAAAAGCAGCTGGCGATGGCTCATGTGCCCACAGAGGGCTCTGCATGCCACGCGTGCCATAGGTTCACCCTCACGGCCCTATACCATTCCAGACAAGTGGCTGTCCAGTCTCTTCTTAAAAACTTCCAGCAATGGAGCACCTGTTCTGTCCCCGTCTCACACACGCACACAAACAGTCAGCCAGGAGTTAAAATAAACTTGCAGACAATAATTTCCTTCGATAACAGAATTGGCAGCAACCCAGGAGCTGCTTTCCAAAAACTTTACTCACAGAGGGAGGTGTTCCTCCTCCGTCAGATAAACCGAAATAAATTCACAAAGCCAAAGAATTGTCAAGTCCGGTCCTTAATAAATCCAAGGAAGGCAGATAACGAAGTTCCAGAGACACAGTATGACTTGCTAGCTGTTCAGTTTTGTCCGTCACAAAGCCTGAATGGCCACCACACCCCCTTTTATCCCCTGTGGGGTGTAGTCCAGTGACTCAGCTTAATCTCTGGCACGCCTCCTTCTCTGCTGCCTGCACTTGTCTTTCCGACGCTGACGGGGATCCAGCCAAGACTTATCTCCTTCACTGTCTAACTGCGGCTGCTCGGAGATGCCTGGCTCCTGGCCTATCTCTTCTCCTTCGGGAGACACCTGAGGCATTGCCAGAGAGGAGGGTCCTGGAGAGGGAGGCCTTGCCAACTCCTCTCCTTCACTTTTGGAGTCTTCTCCCTCCGATAAGACGGGCTCGGGGGTCGGAGTCACAACAGCACCCACAGCTTCTGGTGGCAAGCTGTTCCACTGATTAATTGTTACAATTGTCAGGAAATTCCTCCTTAATTCCAGGTTGCTTCTCTCCTTGATGAGTTTCCGTCCTTTGCTTCTTGTCCTGCCTTCAGGGGCTTTGGAGAACAGGTTGACTCCCTCTTCTTTGTGGCAGCCCCTCAGATGTTGAAACAATGCTATCACGTCACCTCTAATCCTTCATATCTAGCCTGAGGGTGCGTAAAATGCCCAGATCTGCTTTCCATCTACCGTATTGTTACATCTGAACAGAGCGCGCATCGCCTCTTGAACAGAATCCGATCTCCTCCATTCTTCCTCTCCCCCACCCCGCCCTCCCCAGCTCTTCATTTCCGCACGGTAATGAGCTGCACGGGTTAATTGCGAAAACATAACTTTTACAAGTCTTGAAACATGAGGATTTAGCTCATTGAGTCCTCCATCCTTCCTCGCTTTGAACAACGGCTTCCCACTCGGTTTTTCCACCTCATTCGCTGGCTAATGTACCTCCTCTCGTAGCAAGACGGCTTAAACTTCTTCCTCGGAAGACCTCCCCCCCACCCTTTTAAATCTTCTCTTCTGGGGTGAGAGCCATTTGCAGTTCTGGCTTGCTGTTAGGAGCCCCTTTTTCTGAACTCTGCTTGTGTCTAACACGTCGTGCTTGACTTCGGCCGGCCCTCGCTTCATCCGCAGCGCCGTAACTTTAAAAACGTCCACCGAAGCTGTTTTTCAACGCGATTTAGATTCAGCGAGAAAGCTTGGGACTCCTTCCTGCTCAGCAATTAAAAGATTCTGTCCATTCTGCGCTCCGGTCATCATTCTGCATTTCAAAAGTAAACAACAACAACAACAGCAACAAATCTGCCTTACAAATAACCTGGATGTGAGCTACTCACCCAAAAGGCCTGCGTTATTTTATTAAGCGGATTGGGAGAGAGACGGGGCGGAGTTTTAAAAAGTTTTTAAAAGATTTGCTTGGTCTAGATTGGACAAGGGTATGTTGGCGAATGGGTGATCAGATTCAAGGAGGGACTAAAGTCAGGTAAGGGTACCTGGGAAAAAGATTGCACCGCTTGTGTTGGAGCATCAGAATAGCAGAATTGGAAGGGACCTTGGAGGTCTTCTAGTCCAACCCCCTGCTTGAGCAGCAGGCCCTGTTAATAATGACTGTGAGGAAATTTCTCCTTAGTTCTAGGATAGGATAGGATAGGATAGAATATAGATAGAACAGAATAATACAATGGAGAAGAGAAGAGAAGAGAGTCAGAAAGGAGTATAATATATGGAATGGAATGGAATGGAATGGAATGGAATGGAATAGAATAGAATAGAATAGAATAGAATAGAATAGAATAGAATAGAATAGAAATAATAGAAATAGAATAGAAATAATAGAAATAGAAATAGAAATAGAAAGGAAATGAAACAGAAACAGAAACAAATGAATAGAATATATGAAATGGAATTTAATGGAATAGAATAGAATAGAATAGAAATAGAATAGAAACAACAGAACAGAACAGAACAGAACAGAACAACAGAACAGAACAGAATAGAATTAAAATAGAATAGAATAGAATTAAAATAGAATAGAATAATAGAATGGAATGGAATTGAATGGAATGGAATAGTGTTGGTGAACCTTTTTGGCACCGAGTGCCGGAAGTGGCAGGCAGAGCCATCTCTCCGGGCACGTAAGCCATTGCCCGTTGCTCTTCCGGGTTCTGGCATGCTGGCCATCTGGTCTTCACATGCGCGGGAGCGCCAGAAACCTCTGGGAAGATGATCTTCCTGGTTTCTGCCATGCGCATGCGCTCCGGCCAGGTGGCCTTCACGTGTGCATGCGTGCCAGAAACCGGAAGACCAGGTGGCCATGTGCATGCACACGCCGGAACCTGACATTTTGAACCCTGAAATAAGCGCTTGGCCTTATTGCCATGCGCTCAAGAGCCCCATTGGGCTTATCAGGGGGTGTCTTATTTTGGGGGAAACAGGGTAGAGGAGAAGAGAAGAAGAATAAGCAGGTGCTTGTCCATTCTGATGAGCATAGATTAGCCTGATCCAAGGGACTTACACGATATGCCTTAAAATCAGCCTTGACCGCTTCCCAGCATTCCTTGCCAGGGTGAGAGCCATGGTTAACCTCTTTTTTTTGTTTGTTTGTTTTTGTTAGCACCATGTACCTCTTCGGAGGCTTCAACAGCCTGCTCTTGAGCGACATCGTAAAATATACGCCCGAAAGCTGCGAAGCGTACCCCACTCAGGCCTCCTGCTTAAAGGCGGGCCCTGGACTCCGATGTGTCTGGAACGGATCCGTTTCCCAGTGCCTCCCTTGGGAAATGGCCGCCACGCAGCAAGAACGCAAAACGAACGAAGAATGTCCTTCTTGGCTGGGTAAGTATTGCAGGGGAGCCCATTGGTTTTACCGGGGATTGTATCCTAGACCAGTATTTCTGCACCGTGGCCCCTTTAAGACCTGTGGACTTCAATTCCCAGAATTCCCCAGCCAGCCATTCTGGGAGTTGAAGTCCATAAGTCTTAAAGGGGCCACGGTGCAGAAATGCTGTCCTTACCCACTACACTCCTTTTTGATTTTGTGTTTACTGTTTTGGAGTAGGAAATGGAAAATCAAATTTGGAAGGATTCTTGAGTTGAGTTGAGTTGAGTTGAGTTTGCGTTTGTGTTTGTGTTTGCGCTTGAGTTAGATTTAGATTTAGATTTAGATTTAGATATACATTTAGATATACATTTAGATATACATTTAGATAGATATAGATATAGATTTAGACTTAGATTTAGATTTAGATATAGATATAGATATAGATATAGATATAGATATAGATATAGATTTAGATAGATATAGATATAGATTTAGACTTAGATTTAGATTTATATTTGAAACTGGATTTGGATTTGGATTTGGATTTGGATTTCAATTGATTTTTTGGGCCTTCCAGGTCTGATGCCGTTTCATTTGTCCACTGCTGCTAAAACTTTTGTCCTTTGTCAGTTGGATAGTGGTTATGCAGGTAGTCCTCAATTTACAACCATTCGTTCAATGACCGTTGAAAGGTACAAAGGCACTGAAAAAAGGCTCCATTTTGTGACTGAGTTTCACACTTATGACCATTGCAGCATCCCTATCTATGGTCACGTCATAAAAATCCCGACACTTGGTGACTGGTTCATAACGACGACGGTGGCAGGGTCCCAGGGTCAGGTGGTCCTCTTTTGGCACAAGCCTAGTCCAGATTCACTGTACAACCGTGTTACTAACTTAACAGCCGCAGTGATTCACTTAACCACCGTGGCAAGAAAAGTGGTAAAAATTGGGTCAAACTCTCTTTAACAACTTGTCCAGCTTAGCAACGGAAATTTTGAACTCAATTTTGGTTGTAAGTTGAGAACTCCCTGCATATCAAGGCTGTTCAGGGGTTTCACCCAGTTCATCAGGTCTCCTGCTTGAGCAGAGGTTGGACTAGAAGACCTCCATGGTCCCTTCCAACTCTTATCTTTCTGTTATTCCAAGCCTCCAGAGATGGAGAACCCACAGTCTCCATAAATAGACCGATCCAGTGTCAGAGTGATATTTTTTGCCAGGAAATAATCCTGATACGTCAACAAATTTGAGGCGGCTGGTTCAGTCGGAATGGCTGTTGTGGCCCGTCAGCGGCCTATGCGGATTGTAGTTGATTCTGACAGCGAGGAGGCTGGTGTGGTGCTGCACCAGTAGCCTGTGCAGCTGGCACTCGAGTCAGACAGTGAGGAGGCTGGAGAAGATGTGGTGCCAGAGGCAGGGATTCAGCCAGGGCCTTCAGAACCTCCAGAAGCTCCTTCAAGTGAAAAGGAAGAAGAGGAGGAGCCTCTTCTCGATGCATGGGCGCGCAGAGCGGCCAAAAGGCAGGAGTGGCTCCTCAGGAGGAGGTCTCCTCGAGAGTAAGGCTTGGGGCTAATTGGCCACTCCCTTAGCCTATTTAAGGAGGAACACCGACTGAAGCAATTTGCAGGGAACAACTTCAGTTCACTCTACTTCGCGTCTGGATTCTCTGCAAATTGCTTCTGGGCTTTCTGCCAACCTTAGTAAGATTGTGATTACTTTATCTTTGGTTTCTTGTAGGCTGTTAAGAAAGTTTATTAACAGCCTTTGTTTTTGAAAAAGACTGAGTTATTTTAGTAAATTAAGTTTTGTACAAACTTTGTGTGTGCTGTGTTCTTCGGGGTCCATAGCTGGGGCAGAACAATGGCAGTGAAAGTGGCCCCTGAGCAGCCCATCTGCTACTTGTGGCATCCTTGGGGGTAGAGAAGTTAAACCGTTTGGTCAGTCGGTCACCGCAGGGTGGAGATTAACCACGGCCGTGTTTGACTGTGCGGCCTCTTCTCTCTGCCTAGCTGTGGACCATGAAAAATGCGACCAGATTACAGACTGCTACAGCTGCACGGCCAACACCAACTGGTGCCACTGGTGCACTGACCAGTGCCTGTCCAAGAACAGCAATTGCTCAGAAGACCAGGTAACCCCCTCCGTGGGCTTTCTTGCAATTGCCTTGCTGACAATTGACCCTGATTTGGAGTTCTAGGTGGGCTGAAACTCTTTAGGATGGTGGGAGGGAGGGAGGAGAGAAAGGAAGACAGGAAGGAAGGAAAAGAGGGAGGGAGACAGGAAGGGAGGAAGGAAGGAATAGAGGGAGGGAGGAAAAGAGGGAGGGAGAAAGGGAAGGAAAGGAGGGAAGGTAAAGAGGGAGGGAGAGTGAAAGGAAGGAAAAGAGGGAGGGAAGAAGGAAAGAGGGAGAAAGGAAGAAAGGGAGGGAGGGGGAGAAAAGGAGAGGAAGGAAAGGAAAGGGAGGAAGGGAGGAAGGATGGAAGGAAGGGTCAAAGAGAAGAAGGAAGGAAAAAGGGGAGAGGGAGAGGGAGGGAAGGAGGAAAGAAGGGACGGAGGGGGAGAAAAGGAGAGGAAGGAAAGGGAAGGGAGGAAGGATGGAAGGAAGGGACAAAAAAGAAAAGGAAAGAAAAGGGAGAGGGAGGGAAGGAGGAAAGAAGGGAGGAAGGAAAGGAAGGAAGGAAAAGAAGAAGGGAGGGAGGAAGGGAGGGAGGAAGGAATGAAGGAAAGAAAAGAGGGAGCAAGGGAGATAGGAAGGAAGAAAAAGAGAGGGAGGCAGGAAGGAAGGAAAGAAGGAAAAGAGGGAGGGAGGGAAGGAAGGAAGGAAGGCAGGGAGAAGGAAAGGAAAGAAGGAAAGAAAAGAGGGAGAGAGGGAGGGAAGGAAGGCCCATTGGCAGAACCAGGTTTCCAGAGCCTTGTGAAAGCATGTCAAGATGGGGGCCAATCTTATTTCCTCAGCGATGATGTTCCACCGGGAAGGGGCCACCAGGGAGAAGGCCCCTTTTCTGGGTCTCTGCCAGAAGGAGCTCCCTGAGAGACGGGACCCACAACATCCCCTGCCTTCCCCACTCCTGGTCCTGGGAAAAGACCGCCCTTCGGATAACCTGACCGCCCCCCCCACCCCTCCCAAGCCATGTTGAGCTTCGAAAGTGACCATACCTGTGAATCGGACCCGGAAGCAGACCAGGGCAGCTCCCGCAGGACAAGACGACACCCGCGCACACCTGGGTCTGCACAAAACCATGGGGGCTGCCGCGTTTCGAACCAGGTGGAGCTTCCGGCTCCTCTTTAAGGGCAGCCCCAGGCAGAGCACGTCGCGGTAGTCAAGTCGCAAGGCAATGTCTATCTCCCCCGGTTGCAAAATGCTGGGCTTGGTGGGGGCTCCCCCTTCGCCTTCCTCGGGGCTCCTTTGGCTACCTAAGTCAGGGGTCTCCAACCTTGGCGACTTGAAGACTTGTGGACTTCAACTCCCAGAATTCCTCAGCCAGCAACCTTGGCGACTTGAAGCCTGGTGTTGAAGTCCACAAGTCTTCAAGTCGCCAAGGTTGGAGACCCCTGACCTAGAGATTTAATCACGAATTAATCACGCCTGGTTGCAGAACAGTTGACTAAAAAAAAACTTTAATTTTTTCTTTTCTTTCTTTTTTGCTTCCAGACCCCCATTACCGCCTTCGAAAGCTGCCCCAAGGACAACCCCGCCTTTTACTGCAACAAAAAAACCAGTTGCAAGAGCTGCAGCCTGGACCAGAACTGCCAGTGGGAAGCCCGGAATCAGGAATGCATCGCTTTGCCTGGTTGGTTTTTGTTTTCCTCCTCCCCCCCCCCCCCCCCCCCCCCCGGGGTAGGTTTTTTTCCCTTCCGGTACATTGCAGATTAGCAGAGTTGGAAGGGACCTTATAGGTCATCTAGTCCAACCCTCCAGGGTCCAAGCAGACCCTACTGCATCATTTCTGACACAGGGTCTCTTCTTGAATGCATCCAGTGGACGCTTTCTAGAATCTTCCCCCAGGAGAGAAAAACACGTCTCCTCCGAGAAGATTTGGACGGTCTGTTTACAGGTAGGTCCTCAATTTATGACCAACATTTCCGGCGCTAAGCAAGACAGTAGTTAAGCGCATTCGGCTCCCTTGTACGACCTTTCTCGGCATAGTTGCTAAGCGAATCACCGCGGCCTGGTCAGTTAGAAACACGCTTGTGAAGTGAATCCGGCTTCCCCATGGACTTGGCTTGTTAGACCGTCGCAAAAAGGGGATCACGTGACCTCCGGAATACTGTGTCCGTCGTAAATAGGAGTCAGTTGCCCAGCATCTGAATTTTCATCACGTGACCACAGGGATGCCGCAAGTGTGGAAAAACAAGTCATCGGTCACTACTTCGGTACTGTTGTAACTTCGAACGGTCACTAAAAGAAGGGTCGGTCGTAAGTCGAGGACCATCTTGGGTTGTGGGCAGATTTCCCTCACAGGGGCAGAGCCGTTTGAATTCTCCCCTCTCCCCGCCCAATTTCACTGAGAATCTTTTCAGCCCCACATAAAAAGGCTGCGGCCTTCTTTTCGCAATCTGTCCTCTCTTTTATTTTTGCAAAGTCAACAAAGCTTTTTTTTATTCGGCTTTCTTTTATTTATTCATGTGCCATTGGTTAAATTCATTCGCGCCCGGGAGGCTTCTCTAGGCTGCTTACAACGATAAAAAGGAAGAAACGAGAGTGTGAACCCACCAAACATGTAACATAATGGATCAATGAAAGAAACAACGAAAAAAGGAAACAAAGATATAGGCAGTCCTCGACTTACGACCACCATTGAACCCAAAATTCTTTTGCTTCTGAGTGAAACATTCGTTAAGTGAACTTTGCCTCATTTTACGACCTTTTTTTTTTTTGAAAAAGTTTTATTTTAGATTAAAAATAAAATAAAAAAAAGAAAAAAAGAAAACACAACAACAATAACATAAAAATATCATCCTTACAAACGATTATAGACAGCATCTCAACCGGTTAAAATCATTTTGTGTTTACAATTCTCCAAATCTCCTCATATAACAATTATTCTTTACTTAAACTAAAAATACATATTTAAACATTTCATATATACTTTCTCATCTCCATACTTTTTTTATCAAACCAGAGACATTTAATAAAGAATTACAATACTTAATTGTGAACATTTTAACAGCGGCCAGAATTGTATTTGCCAAAAATCGGAAAGGAGAGAAGATAATTACCGATGAAGAAATTATTATGAAAATGTTGGACTGTGCTGAAATGAGTAGATTGACATTTGAAATAAGAGAGCAGGAAGATGAACAATACTATTTGATATGGGAGATATTTTACGACCTTTTCTGCCCCAGTTCTTAAGTGAATCAGTGCAGTTGTCAAGTTAGGAGCACGGTTGTTAAGTGAATCAGGCTTCCCCTTTGCCTGTCAGAAGGTCGCCAAAGGGAATCACGTGAGCTTAGGGACACAGCAACGGTCGTAAATATGAGTCGGTTGCCGAGTGGCCGAATTTTGATCAGATGATGCTGCAACAGTGTGAAAAATGGACATAAGTCACTTTTTCCAGTGCCGTTGTATTTTTGAGCAGTCACTAAATGAACTGATGTAAGTTGAAGACTACCTGTAAATACATTAGTGATGATAGCAAAAAGATGGACAAATTTAAGATGTGTGGACTTCAACTCCCAGAATTCCCTAGCCAGTTGAAGTCCACGCATCTCATCCTGTTCTTTTTAACGACCCCACAACCGAAATGTTGGGCTCAATTTTGACGGTAATTGGAGGACGACCTTCTTCTTCATCATCATCATCATTTAATGACCCCGTAATTCCTTGTGGTGTGGAGTCTGAGCAACTGAATGGAGCTAGCAGAGCGTTTTAATGACCGGATCCCCTTCCTGTCGCCAATGCAGAGTTTTATTCATCAGATATATTCTCATAGTGCCCAGAGAGAGAAATATCTGCCTCTTAACTAGGATTGAACTCGCAGCCTCCTGATTGGGAGGCGACAGCTCCACCTCTAGGCCACCGCCCCACTCTTGAAGTCCAGGCATCTGAGGTTGAGAAATGTTGGTCTAGCCATCACACATTGCATTTGTGGTTTGCTAATTGTCCCTTTCCTATCCACTCACCCAGGGAAGGAAGAAAGGAATGTGTGGGTGATTATTTTATATATATATTTTATATATGATTATTTTGCAGAAAACATCTGTGGCGCAACGTGGCACCTGGTGGGCAATTCTTGCCTGAGAATCACCAACACTAAAGATAGCTACGACAACGCCAAGTTGGCTTGCAGGAGCCATAATGCGGCTCTGGCCTCCCTCACTACACAGAAGAAAGTGGAATTCCTTCTGAAGGAGCTGCAGAAGACCCAGTCCTCGGTGAGTGATCTGTGCCCCTTCTCACGTTTCAGCTGGGGGTCCAGGAATACCCATTGGGTGGGTGGGACCTGATGGAAATACAACATATCTCTGAATTAGCACTTAGAGCCCAAGTAACTTTGTGGGGTCCTTGATGCTCTCTGAGCTTGGTTGTTTTCTTGCAGATGTTTCAAGACCCAACTAGGCAACATCATCAGTGCTAGAAAGGCGGGAGATGGCACTGATGTTACCTACTTGGACCCCTCTCTCCTCCTCCACGCAAACCCCACTCCTTTTAAAAAATGTTGATGTTATCTAGTTTGGTAATGAAATGTCTGCAAGAAAACCACCAAGCTCAGAGACCACCAGGGACCCCACAGTTCAAATTTGAGCTCATCAGCTCTGACTGGATGGTGGGAAATAGAAGGTTTTATAATGCAGACAACTGGTCATTTGCATTCTTTTAGAGAGTCATTGAGGCCACTTGGCGGTTTATCTGTGTCCTTGGAACTGCTGAAAAGACTGTGCTTTAGACAGGAGAAATTGATGGAGAAACAAAACAACCACTTCACATGCGCATGGCACAACATAGGAAAACAAACCCATGAGGACGAGAGTCAGCAGTCCATCTGCTTTGGACAGAGAGGACCTCTGGTTTGAAAGAGGGGGTCCAAGAGGCCATCTACGTCAAAATAGAACAACCCTCTCTCAATAGAGGAAGAAGGGTACAACATCATCTGTCTCCGGTCTGCAACACAGTCCTTTCAGCAGGTCCAAGAAGGCTCCAGACCCATTTGCACCACTCCGGTGACCCTGACGATGCAGAAAAACTCACAAGTGGCCTCAAGGACTCTCTTCAAAAGGATGCAAATGACCAGCTGTCTGCAAGGAATATTAATCCTCCCTTCCCCCACCATCCTGTCAGAGCTGAAGAAGCTTCTTGGATGAGAAGTGAAACGTCTTCAAAGAAAAGCAAGGAAGTCCAGTTGCCTCTTGGAAAAGCACCTTTGAGACAACCGTGTCCTGGATGGCTGAGAATCTCCATAGATAACCTGCAGTGACGGTTCAGCTAGTTGATCTCTCTTTGTCTCTCCCTCTCTTTTTCTCCCTCCCTCCCTCCCTCTCCTCACCCCCAGCCCAAAGCTTTGACACCCTGGGTGGGACTGAGGAAGATCAACATCTCGTACTGGTGCTGGGAGGACATGTCTCCCTTTACCAACACCATGCTCCGGTGGCTTCCGGGGGAACCCAGTGACATCGGCTTCTGCAGCTATTTAGCGGAGCCCAGCAACCAAGGCTTGAAGGCCGCCACCTGCATCAACCTGGTCAACGGCAGCGTCTGCGAAAGGCCAGGTAAAGCATTGTTCAATTTCATTCATGTTGCCAACGGCCCACCTGGACCAAGCTTTTTGTGCAGGGTGTAGAACAGAGGCGGATGTCAGCGCCTCAGCGCTGGCATAGAGAGGAGAGAGATAAGCTCTGAACTTTTGCCTGCTAAATCCCTTTGAAGCCGGGTTGTCGTGGAAATGAGGAGGGGAGAGACATTCCTGGGAAATGATGAGACAAGAAGTCTGGGGAATGACTTGGAAGATAGCCAATGAGAAGCAGAGATTTGGGGATCGGAAAGGGAGGGATTGGGGGGCAAAAGGTCAGTCTTGTCCGCATCGAGTCATGATCCGGTTGCTGTGCTCAATTAAAGAAAAGATTTCCTTAAAGATTGGCAGTTTGGAAATTCATTTATTTTGAGATAGCATCGAAGTCTGACAGACGGGTTTCAGCAGGTTCTGACCAGTTCTGGCGAACTGGTAGCGGAAATTTTGAGTAGTTCGGAGAACCGGTAGTAAAAATTCAGACTGGCCCCGCCCCCATCTGTTCTCTGCCTCCCGAGTCCCAGCTGAACGGGAGGAAATGGGGATTTTGCAGTATCCTTCCCCTGGAGTGGGGTGGGGGGGAATGGAGATTTTACAGTATCCTTCCCCTGCCACGCCCACCAAGCCACGCCCACAGAACCGGTAGTAAAAAAAATTGAAACCCACCACTGGTGTAGAACTTCATACCCAGGATCAAGGAGAAAAAAACATACGTAGGGAATTGGATATGGCTGGTCTAGAGAAAAGAAGGAGGAGGGGAGACATGATAGCAGTCTTCCAGTATTTGAGGGGCTGCCCCAGAGAGGAGTTTGTGGGGGGGGGGGGTGTCAACCTATTCTCCAAAGCACCTGAGGGCGGGACAAGAAGCAACGGGTGGAAACTAACCAAGGAGAGAAGCAATCTGGAATTACAGGAGAAACTTCCTAACGGTGAGGACAATTAATCAGTGGAACAGCTTGCCACCAGAAATTCTGGGTGCTTCATCACTGGAGGCTTTTAAGAAGAGGCTGGACAGCCATTTGTCTGAAATGGTAGAGGGCATTGATGGCGAACTTTTTCGGCACCGAGTGCCCAAACCAGAATACACATGCATGTGCGCACACCGGAGTGCAGAAAACCCAAACACCAGCTGGCTGGCTTGCTCATGGCTGTTTTCAGCCCATTTTCAGGCTGTTTTTCGGCCTGCAAAATGGTTGAAAACTGGCCCAAAAAAAGGCCTGAAAAGGGCCTGAAAAATGGCCTGGTTTGGGGGCATATTTTGGGTCGTTTTCCAGCACTCCGGTACTCGTGAAGACCAGCTGGCCAGCGCGCATGTGTGCGCCGGAAACCAGAAGAGCAGCTGGCAAAGGCGTGTGTGCCCACAGAGAGGGCTCACCGTGCCACCTCTGGCACACGTGCCAGAGGTTTGCCATCACGGGTATAGGGTTTCCTTCCTGAGCAGGGGGTTGGACTAGAAGACCTCCAAAGCTCCCTTCCAACCCTATTATTCTAATTTCTATGTTCTGTGTCCTTGGTCTTCATTACAGCTGCATTACTTGTCTAATACTAGATTGAGAACTACCTTGATCTCCCTGAAATAAACATTTCGAGTATCTCAAAAGGGAGACTCAATGGACCTCCAGGTCTATTTCTGCCATCAGACAACGGTGTCTAGGTTTCCATCTGATTTGCGCCGGACCTCTGCAGGTGTTTGGGAGAAGGCGCTTGCACTCACCCCGTGCCGCATCTGGTGACTTTCTCCTCCCCTCCCCCCCCGCAGCCAATCACAGCGCCAAGCAGTGCCGCACCCCCTGCGGCCTGAGGACGGCGTGCAGCGAATGCACCAGCAGCAACTCCGAGTGCATGTGGTGCAGCAACAAGAAGCAGTGCGTGGACTCCAACGCGTACGTGGCCTCCTTCCCTTATGGCCAGTGCATGGAATGGCACACCGTCAGCAGCTGTCCACGTGAGCCGTCTCTCTTCCTTGCTGGGGTCAGAAGGGCGGGTGGGGGGGATCCAGGGAAGGGCAAAGGGCATCTCGGTGCCCTCTGAGCTGGGTGGTTTTCTTGCAGATGTTTCATGACCCAACTAGGTAATATCATCCGTGCTAGAAGAATGTGGGGTTTGCAGAGAAGAAGTAGAAGAGGAGGAGGGGGAGGAGGACTGTGGGGTCCTTGGTGTTCTCTGAGGTTGGGGGTTTCCTTTCAAACGTTTCATTATCCAACTAGGTAACATCATCAATGCTACAAGGGTATGGGGTTTGCAGGGAGGAGGAGTAGGAGAAGGACAAGGATTATGGGTTCTTGGTGCTCTCTGAGCTTGGGGGTTTTCTCGCAGATGTTTTGACAAGCAAAGTCAACAGGGGAGTCAGATTCACTTAACAACCAGGTTACTAATTTGTCAATTGCAGTAATTCACTTAACAACTGTGGCAAGAAAGGTTGTACAATGGGGCAAAACTCACTTGACAAATATCTCGTGTAACAACAGAAATTTGGGGCTCCAATTGCTGTCGTAAGTCGAGGACCTACCTGTATGTCTGACGCTTTCCCGTCGCTGAGCGTTTCTTTTGCTTTCTCCCCGTAGCTGAAAACTGTTCGGGCTACTTCACCTGCAGCCACTGCCTGGAGCAACCGGGGTGCGGCTGGTGCACAGATCCCAGTAACACCGGGAAGGGCCGATGCATGGAAGGCTCTTCGAGGGCTCCGATGAAGATGCCAACGGTCTCCCTGCCCTCAACGGGAAAACCCTACCCAGACCCCGTCCTGGATGCCAGCCTGTGCCTGACGGAGAACAAATACAACTGGTCCTTTATCCAGTGCCCAGGTATTGAAGAGGGCTCTTTCGAGGTGGCCAAGCAGGGATCCAGGCCCAATTCGGAGCATCTAGAGAAAGAGAATCTCTGGAGCTCAAGGTTGAACTGTGGAGTCCTCGGTGATAGCTGAGCTTACTTGTTTGCTTGCCGATGTTTTGTTACCCAGCTAGGTAACATCATCAGTGCTAGGGTTTGTGGATAAGAGCCAGTGGAGGAGTAAAGGAGGAGGAGGAGGAGGAGGAGGAGGAGGAGGAGGAGGAGGAGGAGGGAGAGGAGGAGGAGGAGGAGGAGGGAGAGGAGGAAGAGGAGGAGGAGGAGGAGGAAGAGGAGGATGAAAGAGAGGTGGAGGAGGGAGGAGGGAGGAGGGAGAGAGGGAGAGAGGGAGGAGGGAGGAGGAGGAGAGGAGGAAGGAGGAGGAGGAGGGAGGAGGAGGAGGAGGAGGAAAAAGACTGGGGGGCCCTTGGTGCTCTCTGAGCTTGGTTGTTTTATTGCAGACATTTCATGATCCAACTAGGTAACATCATCAATGGTAGTAGAGAATGGGGAGAGGGAGAGGGAGGGAAGGAGGAGGAGGACAAGGAAAAAGACTGCAGGGCCAGGGGTGAAATTCACTTACCTTCTCTACCGGTTCGCAAATGTTGAGGTTGAAAATCATCGGGGAAAAAAGGGACATCAGGACGTCCATGTGGGCGGGCAGGGCTTCGCATATTCGGCCCTACCTGTTGTGACCGAGGCCCACGTAGTGATTACCAAACACAATTCAGTCCTCAACAAACTTATTTCATTAAAACAGCTGAGAATTAATTCATTCTCAGCTTAGTCCAAAATAAAATTCTTCATAACCGGTCCGTCGGCCTTATCACCAACCTTTGATGTCTTTGACAACCTGCCAAAGGCTTTTCTTGGCAAAAACCCCACAAAGTTCAAGAGACGCTGACAAGAAGCACTGGAATTAATATGTTGCTTTTCTACAAAGAACCCAACGGGCTCGTTGCTGCTCTTTTAAGCCTTCTGGGAGGGGCCAATCATCTCCTGGCCTTACTCCCGAGTTGTCCCTTTTGCTTTAGCTGCTCTTGCCTTCTGGCAGCTCTGTGCATGCGTCCACTAGGAATAAGATCTTCCTGTTCCTCTGCCTCTCTGCTGTCCGACTCTGGAGGCTCCGGAGTCCACACCTCACTCCCCAATGGCCCTGGCCCCATCTCTGCCTCCGACGCAGAGCCCTCGTCTGAGCCTTCCCCAGACTCCAGGACTGGCCCATAATCCTCCCCAGCCTCCTCCCTGTCCGACTCCGCTGCCAGTTCTGCAGGCTGCTGGCGGACCACAACACTACCGTGTCGTGCGATCCGGTAGGAACCGGCTGAATTTCACCTCTGTGTCAGGGCCCTTGGTGCTCTCTGATCTTAGTTATTTGCGTGCAGACATTTAGCTACCCAACTACGTAACATCCTCCACGCTAGTGATCTTACTGATTAGTGTATCGTTATCACAGCAAGGATGATCTCGCGCAGTTGGGTAATGAAAACATCCAAACTCAAGACAGCACGCCAAGCAGTCCACAGCTAAAGTTCCCTAAATAGGTAGTTCCCCAATGAAGGAGTCCCCTAATCAAGGAACCACCAAAGAGAAAACCCATCCCCTCTCCAACATTGGCAAGAGAAGCCACTTGTATATTAACAGAGACAAACCCCACTCCCTTTCTAGCCCTGATGGTGTTACCTAGTTGGGTCATGAAATGTCTGCAAGCTCAGAGAACGCTACGTACTCCCCCCATTCAGAGTCCCACACTCGGAAAGCCATATGCGGCCACAGCGCCAAGCTACTTCAGCCAAGGCCTGATTGGAATAGAATCGACCCACGAGTTCAGTCATCGCATAAATCTTCACATCCCTTTCCCCAATTTTCGGACGTTGGCTGGCCGTGGAACTCTTGAGAGATGGAGTCCACCGATCTTTAACGTTGCCAAGGTTGGACATCACCGCTGTAGGACATTCCTTTCATCCTAGCTAGAGTCTAGAAAGCAGAGCCCGCCTCATCAGAACCGGGGGCCAGCTCTCCTTTTCGGGGGGCCCTGTTCTTACTTGTCAAGAAAGCCGAGCACTGGGGCAGCCTCCAGAAGTCGACACTTGGGTGGCCGTGAGAGATACCGACACAAACCATCTTCTTTTTTTTTTTTTGTCCCCAGCCTGCCAGTGTAACGGGCACAGCAAATGTATCAACGAGAGCGTCTGCGAGCGATGTGAGAACCTGACCACGGGCAAACACTGCGAGACGTGCATCTCCGGTTACTATGGAGACCCCACGAACGGAGGGACCTGCCAGCGTAAGTCCCGTCCTTCCTCTCCTCTTGATTGCAGACCAGCGCCGAACAATTGTACCTTTCCCACCTGGCCGTCGTGATGCTCTTTGCAGGCAGCGGTAATCAAGGGGCGCCTGTGTTCCCTACTCAATAATTTAAGATGCCGGGCCAAGAAATTCTCAATGAAATTAGGTGGGATTGAGGAAATGTGTCTAATGTTACGCCCACGGCATTGCTTATTTATGTGCCCTTGATTTTCGCTCCGCCGGTGAAGAGGCTCGGAGGGAGGGCACGGTTCCACCAGGGACCAAAAGCTGGCTGCTTGTCAACCCATTATTTTTGGTGCCTAACCATTGTTTGCCTGTCTCCGAGAGTCCTTTGCTCGCTTTGAAAAAGATGGGCCAGCTATTGTCTGCCTGTGCGTAATTTAATTAAGGAGGAATGCATGCTTTCCTTCCCTGATCAAATTGATAGCGACGTCTCGGGGAGAGGAGAGGTTCGCACAGCATACCTTGTTAAGAATCCCAGTCCTGCAGGCCCACCGGAACGCCGTTTTGCTTCTCAGGCAGAAAAGCCTCTTAAAATAGCTTACTCACAGTCATTAACTGGAGAGGGGAGGGAAAAAAAAAAAAAAAGAAACAAGCAAAATTGTTGCTGTGGTGGTTTATAACCTCAAAAGACAAGCTGCAGTGACCCCGTTTTGAAAAAAAAAAAAAACACGACAACTCTGTCGTGCCAGTCCCTAAAAAAAAAACAGCAAACTCCCAGTTCCTAAAACCAGCAAACTGACTCAGTCCTTTTACTCTTGAGAAGGACTAGTTTTACTCCAGATGGCTCAGTTGGTTAAAGACGCTGAGCTTGTCAGCTGGAGAGCCGACAGCCTGGGTTCGAGACCCAAGCACCACAAGACGGGGTGAGCTCCCGTCCTGGCCTCCTCCGCTCCTGCCCACCTAGCAGTTCGAAAGCAGGCAAATGCGAGTAGATAAATAGGTACCACTTCGGTGGGAAGATCACAGCGGTTCTGTGTGCCTCGGCGTAGAGTCCTGCTGGCCACGTGACCACGGGAATTGTCTTTGGACAATGTTGGCGCCGTCGGGAGAGAAACGAAATGAGCACGATGCCTTAAAGTCGGACATGACTAACAGGAAAACCTTAACTGCTATCCTGTCTGAGCTGAAGAAGCTTCTTGGATGAGAAGCGAAACCTCTTCAAAAGAAAAAAACCCAGAAAATCCAGTTGCCTCCTGAAAAAAGCACCTTGGGACAACCATGACCTGGATGACGGAAAATCTCTACAGATTCTTACTTTTAGAGCAGGGGTGGTATTCATTTACCTTCGCTACCGGTTCGCAAATGTGAGCGCGTGAGAGCCTTTTGCGCATGCGGAGAGCATCAAAAACGGGACGTGATGACGTCCGGGTGGGTGGAGCCTCCTGCAGCCGCCGCTACCGGTTCGCCCGAACCGGATAGAACCGGCTGAATACCAACACTGCTTTAGAGATGAATTAGTTCGGAGCTAACTAAATAGAATAACATGAGACCATCTGTCAGAAGATGGAAGCTCAACGCAAAGTGGACTTCGCAACATCGTCCTGACCTCTCAACTTTCCAGCAAATCCACCAAGTAATAGCTAGGAAAATTAGAATGGCGGGTTCTGAAATAGCTGCGTCAAAGCCCAGATCTAAACCTAAATCTAATCCTATTTGAGATGCTCTGAGGTCCTTACCTTTTGAAGAGATTATTTTTATAGCTCAGGGTTAAATTGTGGGGTCTGTTAAGGAATTCGCAGAGTAACCCTTGAGTAGCAAGGGTGTGTACATGAAAGCAATTGAGAGTAGGTACGAATAAACACAGTCAACACACACATACACTGAGTTGTGTTTACTTTCAGGAAATAGTAAGGCACAGTCCAATAAACAGTCCAGGTCATACACATATAAAGCAGGAGATAGCAAAACGACAGTCCAGGGATAATCCAATAACAAAATCTTCTTACCAGTTGTCGTAGTCATTCACAATAAACAGTTCTTCTGGATTTGCAAACAGTAGCATACAGGGATACAGAATAGGCTCCCTCTTAAGGAGATTGGCCACAGAGCTAACCAATCAGGAGACAGTATGATGCGATACAGCAGTCTTAAAGCTGTATTGATGGTTTATATATTGCCAACCCAACAATGTAGGTAATACTCATTTTCTAACAGGGTCCTTGGTGGTCTTTGAGCTTGGTGGTTTTCTTGCAGACATTTCATGACCCAAGTAGGTAACGCATGGATGACGTTACCTAGTTTGGTAATAAAACGTCTGCAAGAAAACGACCAAGCGCAGACGACACCAAGGTAGTCCCTGGATACAGGTAGTCCTCGACTTACGGCAGTTCATTTCATGACCATTCAAAGTTACAACATCACTGAACAAAACTCTGTGACTTCGGATCGTTTTTCACACTTAAGACCATTCTGCGTCCCCGTGCCCGTGCAATCAAAATTCAGATACCTGGCAACTGGTTCCTATTTATGACAATCGCAGTGTCTCCGGGGTCACGCGATCCCCTTTTTGGGACCTTCCGACGAGTAAAGTCCATGGGGAAAGCCAGACTCACTTAACAACCGTGTTCCTAATTTAACAACTGCAGTGATTCATTTAACAACTGCGGCAAAGAAAGTCGCAAGGTGGAGCCAAACTCACGATAACAGACATTTGCTCGGATTAGCCTCGGGGCTGCGACGGTGGTGCCCGTGTTGATATAATGCGCCCGTGGGCTGTTTCGCAATTTAGCCTCCCCTGTTTTCTGAGATTTTTGTTCTGGCAGGTGTTGGTGACGCACTTAAAAGCTTATCTCTGCAGCCTTGAGGGCTGACAACTTTTGCAAATCAAAGTCATGACTTCTGAGAAGAAAGGAACGTTTCTTTCTCTCTCTCTCTCTCTCCCTCTCTGTGTCTCTGTCTCTGTCTGCCCCTCTCTCCTGTCTCTCTCTCTCCCTCCCTCTCTCTCTCTGTGTCTCTGTCTCTGTCTCTCTCTGCCCCTCCCTCCTCCTGTCTCTCTCTCTGTCTCTCTCTTTCTGTCTGTCTCTGTCTCTCTGTCTCGCTCTCTCTCTCCCCCCCTCTCTCTGTCTCTGTGTGTTTGTCTCCCTCTCTTCCTCCCTTTCTCCCTCCCTCCCTGTCTCTCTGTCTGTCTCTCTCTGTTTCTGTGTCTCTCTCTTTCTCTCTCTCCCCCTCTCTCTGTCTTCCCCTCTCTCTGTCTCACTGTCTCGGTCTCTCTCTCTGCCCCTCTCTCTCCTTCTGTCTCTCCCTCTCTCTCCCTCAGTAAATCAAAACCCCCAAAATCATCCCCTCACTCCTCAGTTGATCACCTACTCCAATCAACCGCCATCCGATCTTGAGACCTTACTCCGACCACTCCTTCTCCAGATGCAGGATCGCCCTGACCTTGACCGACAGGAAGAATGCTATTATGTCTACAGACAACCCCTCTACTAAATCCCCCCTCCTACCTCTCTCTCTCTCTCTCTGTGTCTCTGTCTCTCTCTCTCTGCCCCTCTCTCCTTCTGTCTGTCTGTCTCTCTCCCCCTCTCTCTGTCTCTCTTTCTGTCTGTCTGTCTCTGTCTGCCCCTCTCTCTTTGTCTCTCTCTCTCCCTCCCTCTCTCTCACTGTGTCTGTCTCTCTCTCTCTGCCCCTCTCTCCTTCTGTCTGTCTGTCTCTCTCCACCTCTCTCTGTCTCTCTTTCTGTCTGTCTGTTTCTGTCTGCCCCTCTCTCTTGTCTCTCTCTCGCCCTTCCTCTCTCTCTCTGTGTCTCTGTCTCTCTCTGCCCCTCCCTCCTTCTGTCTGTCTCTGTCTCTCTGTCTCTCTTTCTCTCTCCCCTTTCTCTCTGTCTCTCTCTTTCTGTCTCTCTCTGTCTCTCTGTCTCTCTGTCTCTCTCCCCCTCTCTGTCTCTGTGTGTTTGTCTCCCTCTCTCCCTCCCTCTCTGTCTCTCTCTGTTTCTGTGTCTCTCTCTTTCTCTCTCCCCCCCCCTCTCTGTCTGTCTGTCTGTGGTGGGAAGAAGGCAAAGTGCCTTCTTCCCACCACATGCTCTGAACCCTCTCAAGCTAGTCAAGCTATTCTCCAAAGCCCCTGAAGGCAGGAGAAGAAGCAATGGGTGGAAACTAACCAAGGAGAGAAGCAACCTGGAATTAAGGAGAAATTTCCTGGCAGTGAGAACAATTAATCAGTGGAACAGCCTGCCACCAGAAGTTGTAGATGCTCCAACACTGGAAGTTTTGAAGAAGAGACTGGACAACCATTTGTCTGAAGTGGCGTAGGGTTTCCTGCCTGGGCAGGGGGTTGGACTAGAAGACCTCCAAGGTCCCTTCCAACTCTGTTTATTCTAATATTCTTTTTTTAAAAAAAATTTTTTTTGATTTATATGCCGCCCTTCTCCGGAGACTCAGGGCGGCTTACAATGCGTTAAGCAATAGCCTTCATACTTTTGTATATTTTATACAAAGTCAGTTTATTGCCCCCACAAACCGGGTCCTCAATTTACCTACCTTAGAAAGGATGGAAGGCTGAGTCAACCTTGAGCCTTGGCGAGATTCGAACCTGCAGAAATTGCAGGCAGCTGGTCTTAATAACAGGGTGCTTTAGACCACTGTACTACCAAGGCTTCTAATATCTCGGTTGCCTTTTCTCATTCAGATCTGGGTTGCTAAACATGCCCATCCCGCGTTTTCCTGCATTTCTGCTTAAGAGGAGGAACACCTTGTCTTTTCTACAGGTAGTCCTCGACTTGCAACGGTTCCTGTAGTGACCGTTCAAAGTTACAACGGCACTGAAAAAAGGGACTTGCGACTTTTTCATCTTTACGACCGTTGCGTTGTCCCTGTGGTCACGTGATCAAAATTTAGACCCTTGGCACGTCTGAACGCTGACCCACGTTTATGACTGTCACAGTGTCCCAGGGAATCACGCGATCCCCTTTTGGGACCTCCTGACAAGCAAAGTCAACGGGGAAGCCAGATCCCCCTTAACAACCGTGGTGCTCCGCTTAACAACTGCGGCAGGAAAAGGTCGCAAAACGGGGCGGAACTCACTTAGCTACCGTCTGGCTTAGCGACAAAAATGTCGGGGCTCAATTGTGGTCGTAAGTCGAGGACTCTCCTCCGCATTGCCGGAGGAAAATCCGGAAAAGCTCTCCGCCTGCCTGATTTTGCGTGAAACTTAACTGACTCCTCCTTTACGAAAAAAAATTTGCATTGATTTTTGTCGGAAATGCCTTTTTCTCTTCCAGCCTGCAAGTGCAACGGCCACGCTTCCATCTGCAACACCAACACCGGGAAATGTTTCTGCACAACCAAAGGGATCAAAGGAGAAGAATGCCAACTGTGAGTGGCATCCTTGGAAAACACTTGGGTAGCCCCTACTCTTCTGCCCTTCTGCCCTTGGTGATCTAAAGGCCAATAAAGGGGAATATTTGTAGCTGTGGGTTGAAATCAGGGTCTCCTTGGTGCTTCTCCGAGCTTGGTTGGCTTTTTTTTTTTTTTTTGCAAGACGTTTCATGACCCAGCTAGGTTACATCATCAGTTCTAGAAGGGAGTAGGGCAGTGATGGCTAACCTTTTCCCCCGTCGTGTGCCAAAAGTGAGGGTAGCACGGGAGGGTTGCGCGCGAGCGTGCCCACATCCATAATTCAATGCCCCCGCGCATGTGCGCACGACCCCTCCACACTCCCATTTTTGTCACGCGACAACGAAAAGGTCACCGGTGGGCCCAGTATGCCTGTTTTTCGCCCTCCCCAGGCTCCAGAGGCTTTCTTGGAGCCTGGGCAGGGCAAAAACGGCCTTCCCCACCTCCCCAGAGGCCCTCCGGAGGCCGGAAACAGCTCGTTTCCCAGCTTCCAGTGGGCCTGAAAGGCCCGAAAATCAGCTGGCTGGCGCTCATGTGCACGCTGGAGCTCAGTTAGGGCAACGCTTACGTGCCCACAGATATGGCTCCGTGTGCCACCTGTGCATGTGTGGCCATAGGTTTGCCATCATGGGAATAGGGTGTGGGAGGAGGAGGAGGAGGACTGTAGGGTCCTTGGTGCTCTCTGAGCTTGGTTGTTTTTTTTTACAGACATTTCATGACCCAACTAGGTTATATCATCAGTGCTACAGTAACAGTACAGTAATCAATAACACCGATAGCACTGATGGCGATACCTAGGTGCGTCATGAAATGCCTGCAAGAAAACAGCCAAGCTCAGATAGCATCACAGTCCTCCTCCTCCTCCTCCTTTAACCTCCCCACTTCTCCTTTTTTTTCCATTCTGCCCCCACTCCCTTCTAGCACTGATGTTGTTACCTACTTTGGCTAACGAAACGTCTGCGAGAAAATAGCCAAGCTGAGAGATCTCAAGATTCCAAAACGCCACCTGGATAAATGTATGGCCAACTTATCACCCCCAACTTTTCAAACAAGAAAGCAGACCAGGCATTGGGTATGCCTACCAAAGTTTAATAATAATAATAATAAAAAAGGACCAGCAGTGATATGATAGCAGCCTTCCAATATTTGAAGGGCTGTCACAGAGGGTTATTTAATCCACTTTATAGCTTCCTCTGCACTTAGAAGAAATTGTGTATTTTTTCATATCCACAGGACACCTCCTGAAATGCAAGGGAACAGGGGGGATGTGCTGTGACTGTCAAGATAGGGCAGTCGTTGTGTGCACCATAAGCTGCTACTAAGGGAACTAGCCACGTTTAGCCTAATGAAGAGAAGGACATGGTAGCAGTCTTCCAATATTTGAGGGGCTATAGCAGAGAGGAAGGGGGTCAACCTATTCTCCAAAGCACCAGAAGGCAGGAGGAGAAGCAACAGACGGACACTAATCAAGCAACCTAGAACTAAGGAGAAATTTCCTGACAGTTAGAACAATTAACCAGTGGAACAGCTTGCCACCAGAAGTTGTGGGTGCTCCAACACTGGAAGTTTTTAAGAAGAGACTGGACAACCATTTGTTTGATATAGTTATAGTTTTAGCCACTTGTCTAACATTCTACAGGGTCTCCTGCTTGAGCAGGGGGGTTGGACTAGAAGACCTCCAAGGTCCCTTCCAACTTTGTTATTCTGCACCAGGACAGACCCCCAGTGGTTACAGAGGCCCTGTTTTTTTTAAAAAAGTTGATTGCGCAATCTCCGTATCGCCTGCCAAGTTAACACAGGTAGCCTCCGAAGTTATTTGCGCGTTGTATGACTTTCATGGCGAAATTCTGCATCTTCCTTCACCCTAAAGTAAATTGACGGGAAATCCCAGAAGGATCGGATCAGCCTAGCTGTGCCGTGCGAATGATTTTGCTGCAGCTGTAAGATCAGTCCATTCCCTGCTCATACAACACAGAATCATTAGGACTGGAAGGCACCTCAGAGGTCATCTAGTCCAACCCCTCTTGTTCAAGGCAGGAGACCTTATACCGTCCTGGTTAAATGGTTGTTCAGGCTATTTTTTGAAAACCTCCTAAGCACCCATCGCTGTTCCCTTTCCTAAGTTCCGTTTTGTCGTGGGCTGTCGGCCGCCAACACCTCCAGCAGCCGAATCAGATGAGGAGGCAGGGTGGGAGTCAGGGTTAGCATCAGGGTCACCGAGGGGGAAGAGGGAATGGAGCTGACAGAGAGAGAGAGACCGAGGAGGAGCCGTCAGCCGTCAGATGGAGAGTCAAGAGCCCCCAGGTCTGGAGGCGGCTGATGAGGAAGAGGAGGCACAGCTGGGTCCAGTGCCTGATGCACAGAAGGCAGAGGAGAGGAGAACAGTGGAAATCTATGGGCCGGTCCTTGGGACGGAAGAGCCACTGCTGCTAGAGAAGCCCCACCTTAGCTCTGGGGATAAAAGGCAGGGGGCGGAGATGAATCGATGTGGCAGACAACTATTCATCTCCCTGCCGGACAGACTTGTTAGCCTGCGATGAGAGAGCAACTTTTTGCCGGGGCTGCCGGCATTCCTAATAAAGGAATAATTGAGTTAGCTTCAGAGAGTTGGTCGTGTTTGGGGAGCTGGGTGAGAAGGCCTTTCGTAATTCAAGAGTTTTTCGGGACAGGCGTGGAAAGCGTTCTTCCTTTTCGCCCAACCTCGCTTCCTACCCGGCCTTCGTCGTTCTCCCGTTTGGTGAGGGATCGAAATATAGCCAGCGCAGGATTCATTGCACTTTTGCAGCTAAATTTCATGAGATAATATTGTATTATGTCAGCTTCCCTAACGGTAACCAAGAAAACGGGGTTCTCCCGAAGGCTTTGTTGCAAGAAAACAACAGGTAGCAGAATGAGAACTGGATACGCTTGTGCAGAAGTCTTCAAACTTGGCCGCTTTAAGACTGGTGGACTTCGACTCCCAGAATTCTCCAGCCAGCATAGCTATGCTGGCTGGAGAATTCTGGGAGTCGAAGTCCACCAGTCTTAAAGCGGCCAACTTTGAAGACCTCTGTGCTTGTGTGTTTGTGTGTTTAGACAGCTCCTGTGCAATCAAGGCAGTCCTCGCCTTACAACTATTTGTTTAGTGATCGTTCGAAGTTACGACAGCACAGAAAAAAAGCGACTTACAACTGTTTTTCCCAGTTTGGACGGTTGCTGCATCCCGATGGTCATGTAGTCGAAATTCAGACGCTTGGCAACTGACTCGTATTTATGACGGATTGCATGTGACCGGAGTCATGTGAACACTTTTGGCAACTTCTGACAAGCAAAAGTCAATGGGGGGGGGGAGGCCAGATTTGCTTAACGACCACATGATTCACTGAACAACTGCAGTGATTCGCTTACCGTGTTTCCGCGAAAATAAGACCCTGTCTTATATTTTTTTGAACCCTGAAATAAGCGCTTGGCCTTATTGCCATGCGCTCAAAAGTCTGACTGGGCTTATTATCAGGGGATGTCTTATTTGGGGAGGAAACAGGGTAACAACTGTGGCAAGAAAGTGGGACAAAACTCACTTAACGACTGCCTTGCTTAGCAATGGAAATGTTGGGGGGGGGTAAGTCAGGGACTTCCTGTATCAGGAAGTCCTTGGCTTTTATCTACTTTTATCTACTTGGCTTTTATCTACTTCCAAAAAAACTCTGCTGCTATTCCAGATTGTTCCTGGGACGTACAAATCAAGTAGAGAAATAAAAGTTTCGTGTAGAGGAAAGAATTACGACCAGAGGCCAATTCTTTTAATGCTTTTTTCCTCCAGGTGTGAAGTCGAGAATCGATACCAGGGTAACCCTCTCAAAGGAACCTGCTACTGTGAGTGGAAATTACATTTCTTTGGCCTGTTTGGGATTTATAGATCAAGTGATCTAGCAGCAGACCAGGGAAGAGGCAGGAAGAGACGTTTTGAATTTTCTCTCTCTGGAGCTTTTTGTCAAGGTCACCGAGCGAAGGTCTCTGCTAGTTCCTTTTATCTGTCTTCCTTCCTTCCTCCCTTCATCTGCTTTCAAGTAAAAGGAAGGGGATGATTGTTTTTATTCTGGGTATGTTGGGTTTTTTATTTTTTATTTTTGTAAAATAACACTCAGACACTGAGAGGGAGTGGGCGGCCATATAAATTTTTATAGATATTGGAGAGAGAGAGAGCGAGAGAGAGAGAGATTTAGATACATAGATATAGGTAGACAGACAGACAGACAGATTAGATAGACAGACAGACAGATAGACAGATATTTAGATGATGGGTAGATGGAGGGAGGGAGGGAAATTTGGATATTTAGATAGATAAACAGATATTTGGATGGATGGATGGATATTTAGATAGATATTTAGATGGATGGATGGAAACGGATGGATGGATGGATGGATATTTGGATATTTAGATAGATATTTGGATGGATGGATGGATAGATATTTATATATTTAGATAGATATTTAGATAGATGGATATTTAGATAGATTGATGGATGGATGGATGGATGGATGGATGGATGGATGGATAGATAGATAGATATTTGGATGGATGGATGGAAAGGGATGGATGGATATTTGGATATTTAGATAGATATTGGATGGATGGATGGATGGATGGATGGAAAGATATTTATATATTTAGATAGATAGATATTTAGATAGATGGATATTTAGATAGATTGATGGATGGATGGATGGATGGATAGATAGATAGATAGATAGATAGATAGATAGATAGATAGATGGATTTAGATAGATGGATGGATGGATGGATGGATAGATAGATGGATATTTAGATAGATGGATAGATGGATGGATGGATGGGTAGATGGATGGATGGATGGAAAGATGGATGGATATTTGGATATTTAGATAGATGATGGATGGATGGATGGATGGATGGATGGATGGATGGATATTTATATATTTAGATAGATGGATATATAGATCAATGGATAGATCAATGGATGGATGGATGGATGGATAGATAGATATTTAGATAGATGGATGGATAGATGGATATTTGGATATTTAGATAGATATTTGGATGGATGGATGGATAGATAGATATTTAGATAGATGGATAGATGGTTGGATAGATGGGTAGATGGATGGATGGATGGAAAAGATGGATGGATGGATATTTGGATATTTAGATATTTAGATAGAAAGACATATTTGGGATGGATGGATGAATAGACATTTAGATAGATAGATAGATAGATAGATAGATAGATAGATAGATAGATAGATAATGATAGAAATGACAGACAGATAGGTTATGTTCACTGTAATCCTTGAAGTGCGGATGGAGCTCCAATAGATTAATATCTTCTCCCCAATACAAAGATATTTATTAAGAGATGGTAAAATTGTTGGGGGGGGGGGGATTTTTGTGTGCAATTTTTGTCCCGGCAAGGCCCAGGCAAAGATGTAAGTTGTCATCAGGCACATTCTAGATTGGTGTTTCTTCAACTGTGGCAACTTGAAGATAGAATAGAATAGAATTCTTTATTGGCCAAGTGTGATTGGACACGCAAGGAATTTGTCTTGGTGCATACGCTCTCGGAGTACATAAAAAGAAAAGATACGTTCATCAAGAATCATAAGGTACAACACTTGAGTTGAAGTTGAAGTCCGCACATCTTCAAGTTGCCATGGTAGAAGAAACATCAGTCTAGACCTAAACCTTTCACTGTGGAAAATGTCTTCCTCATGCAAAGCTCTTCAGCTGCTTTCAATCTTAAGTGACAGGATCTCCTCTGATGATCTTGGTGATCAACTACAACTCCTTGACTTAACAACGGTTTGTTTAGTGACTGGTTAGAACAGCACTTAGAAAAGCGATGTACGACCATTTTTCACATTGCAGCATCCCCTTTGGTCACTTGATTGAAATTCAGGTGCTTGGCAACTGATTCATATTTATGACGGTCATGTGATCCCCTTTTGCGACCTTCTGACAACCAAAGTCAACGGGGAAAGACAGATTCACTTAACAACCATAAGTTTCTCACTTATGAACTGCAGCGGTTCGCTTAAAGAAAGGTTGTAAAATCGGACGAAATTCGCTGAACAACTGTCTCGCTTAACAATGGAAATTTTGGGCTCAGTTGTGGTCGTAAGTCGAGGACTACATGTAGCTCTAAAAACTGGAGGCAAATTTGGCAGGATTCCTTCTCCCAAGGAGGTTTAGGCCTCGGTCAACACCGTACAACGCCTGCAAACCCAGTTTAAGAGTTTCCAAACTGTAGGCAAATTGAACACAGATTGAACATTTTTTAAATCAGAAGGCTCTTAAAAGTAAAACAGACCAAGCCATTTCCCCCTTAACAGCGATATCTAGTGTTTTGTTTGCTCGGCCATCCTTTCGTTCCCCCTTTTTAATCTCATCCGTGCGCGCCAAACCCAATTTCCCGCGATCAAACGACACATTAAAAACCAATTAGAGGCTCAAATGGAAAGAGAACGCCAGATATAAACGGAATTTAAAAAAAAAAAAAAAAGCACTCGCCGGAGAAATTAAATGCCTGCAAAAACAAACTGGCCTTAAGGAGACGGTGGCAATCCCAGAAATCCAGAGGATGTCCGGTCCTGATGGGGCCGAGTTCCCCCCCTCCCCCCCAAAGTCGGGCTCCATCCTTAATCGGCATTCTGTCCGTGTCTCGGATAGCATCAGCCCATGAAAAGAGATTAAACACGGTGCTCGCCGTTGCTAGATTATTGAAAGCTCTTTCAGTGGCTTTCTTCTACTAAACAGAATACAGGGGGAATCCTCAACTTACGACTGCAATCGAGCCCAACGTTTAGGTTGCTAAGTGGAACATTGGTTAAGTGAGTTTTGCCCCATATTACGACCTTTCTTGCCACAGTCATTAAGTGAATCGTTGTCTTTGTTAAATTAGTAACATGGTTGTCAAGTGCCTTCCCCCTTGACTTTGCTTGTAAGATGGCCGCAAAAGGAGATCACGTGACCCCGGGGACACTGCGACCGTCATAAATATGAGTCAGTTGCCAAGCCTCTGGATTTTGATCACGTGACACCATGGGGATGCTGCGACGGTCGTAAGTGTGAAAAACAGTCCTAAGTTGCTTTTTTCAGTGCCATTATAACTTCAAACGGTCACTAAATGAACTGTAAGTCCAGGACTACCTGTACCACCCGTTAGTGCTTTCCAGCCCTCTCTCAGGGGTTTAAAGACTCGGCCTCTTGCCCCCCAACAATCTGGCTCCTCATTTTACCGACCTCAGAAGGCCAGAAGGCTGAGTCAACCTTGAGCCGGTCAGGATCGAATTCCTGGCAGTTGGCAGAATTAGCCTGCAATGCTGCACTCTAACCACTGCGCCACCAGGCCTCCTCAGCAAGTTGATTTAATCTTTGTTTTATTTATTTACTGATTAAATGTTAATGCCACCGCCTATCTCTCCTACACCATGACTCTGGGCGGCTTATGGGTTATAAAACCATTAAAAAGAGTTATTAAAAGATTAAAACAACACACAATTAGAATGTCTTAGCGCAGCCTTTAATAAGATTTTAATGTTGGTTCGTTTTAATCTTTTAATCTTTATTATTGTTGACCTGTTTCTATCGTTTGTAAGCTGCCCAGAGTGACCTTGTAGGCGAGATGGGCGGCGTGGAAATTTAATTAATTAATTAATAATTAATTAATCAATCCATCCATCCATCCGGCACTGGAAAAAAAAGTGACTTAACACCCATTTTTCACACGACGGTTGCAGCACCCTCGTGGCCACATGATAATAATTCAGGCACTTGGAAACGGACTCGTATTTACGACGATAGCAGTGTTCCCGGGCTGACGTGATTTCCCTTTTTGTGACCTTCTGCTGAGCAGAATCAACGGGGAAACCAGATTCCCTTTAACGACCTTGTTCCTCACTTAACAACTGCAGTGGTTCCCTTAACAAGCGGGGCAAGAAAGATCGTCCGATGGGGAGCAACTCTCCCTTAACCACAGAAATTTGGGGCTCAGTTTGCGGTCGTAAGTCGGGGACTCCTGTTCCAAGGTATCTGCTAACTCTCTCTTGTTACGCTTCCTTGTAGATACCCTTCTCATCGACTATCAGTTCACTTTCAGTCTCTCCCAAGAAGACGACCGCTATTACACCGCAATCAATTTCGTGGCGACACCCGAAGAGGTTGGTAAGATCTGTCAACTGGGCATCGGGGTTGTTTCTTCAAAGGTCTCGGCTGCCCCAGGCCAGCAAGTCCGTCTATTGTGTAGAAATATTAGACAACAGAATTGTGAAAGGCGGTTGGGTTTCTGATGCTATGTATTCATCTAGGTCAGTGTTTCTCAACCTTGGAAGCTTGAAGATGGGTGGACTTCAACTCCCAGAATCCCCCAGCCAGCAGCGCTGGCTGGGGGATTCTGGAGTTGAAGTCCACCCATCTTCAAGCTACCAAGGTTGAGAAACACTGATCTAGGTAGAGTTCTGCAGAGTGATGTAAGTTTATTCCTATGGATTATAAATCACAATTTCAGAAGCGAAAGGTATGTTTTTAAATCAGAGAAGATTACAGATTAACAGAGTTGGAAGGGACCTTGTTGGTCATCTAGTCCAACCCCCCACCCAAGCAGGAGAGACTACACCATTTCTGACAAATGGCAGTCCAGTCTCTCTTGAAAGCCTCCAGGGATGAAGCTCCCACAACTTCCGAAGGCAACTTCTGTTCCATGGGTGGATTGCTCTCACTGTCAGAAAATTCCTCCTTATTTCCAGGTTGAATCTCTCCTTGTTCAGTTTCCATCCATTATTCCTTGTCTGGCCTTCGGGTGCTTTGGAAAACAGCTTGACCTCTTCCTCCTCTCTGTGGCAGCCCCTCAAATATTGGAAGATGCTCTCCTGTCTCCCTGGTCCTTCTCTTCACTAGACTACCAGGCCCAGTTCCTGCAACCGTTCTTCATATATTTTAGCCTCCAGTCCCCTAATCTTTCTGGTTGCTCTTCTCTGCACTCTTTCTAGAGTCTCCACATCTTTTTTATAGTGTGGGGACCAAAACTGGATGCAGGATTCCAAGTGTGGCCTTGCAAAGGCTTTATAGAGTGGTAGTAGTACCTCACCTGATCTTGATTGTATCCCCTCTGTGAATGCAACTTCGGATTGCAGGCTCTTTTGGCTGCCAAAGACTGAAAGGGAATAGCCAACTGTTTTGTATAGAATAGGGGTAGGGAACTATGGCCCTTTTATGACTTGTGGACTTCAATTCCCAGAATTCCTGAGCTAACATGGCTGGCTCAGGAATTCTGGGAGTTGAAGTCCACAAGTCATAAAAGGGCCATAGTTGCCCACCCTGGTATAGAAGTTGCCTGATGCTTAAGCCGTTAACTCCTCTTTCTCCCTTTATTTTCTCATAACCAGCAAAACAGGGACCTGGACATGTTTATCAACGCTTCGAAAAACTTCAACCTTAACATCACTTGGTCGACAAGCTTTGCAGGTGAGGAATGTTCCCCAAGGCAGGTAGGCCTCGACTTAACAACCGTTCGTTTAGTGACGGTTCAAAGTTACAAGGGCACTCCGAAAAGGGACTTACCGGTATGTCCGTTTTTCACACTTGCGACCATTTGCAGCATCTCCATGGCCAGGCGCTCAAAATTCAGATTCTTGGCAACTGACTCCTCTATTTATGACGGGTTGCAATATCCCGGGATTGTGCGATCCCCTTTCGCCATTTTCTGACGAGCAAAGTCATTGGGGAAGCCAGATTCGCTTAACAACCGTGTGACTAATTTAACGACTGCAGGGATTCACTTAACAGCTGTGGCAAGAAAAGTCGTAAAATGGGGCAAAATTGACTTAACAGATGTCTCACTTAGGCTGAATTGTGGTCGTAAGTCGAGGACAGCCTGTAGAACATGCAGCTTCTTTATGTGCAAACAAAACTCTTGATCTCTCGTTGACTTGTGGATTTAATAGGATTCTATGCTGAAAAATTACATACAGCTGGTTCTCAACTTACGACTACAACTGAGCCCAAAATTTCTGTTGGTAACAAGGCTCTCTGTGAAGGAGATAGGTGGTTAAGAAATAGGAATGAATGAATGAATGAATGAATGAATGAATGAATGAATGAGGAGGGAGGAGGGAGGGGAGGGAGGAGAGGGAAGGAAGGAAGGAAGGGAGGGAGAAGAAAGAGAGAAAGAAAGAAGGAAGAGGAGGAGAGAGAGAGAGAGAAAGAAGGAAGAAAGAAGAGGAAAGGAGAGACAAGAAAGACAGAAAGAAAGAAGGAAGAGGAAGGGAGAGAGAGAAAGAAAGGAAGAGGAAGGGAGAGACAAGAAAGAGAGAAAGAAAGAAGGAAGAGGAAGGGAGAGAGAGAAAGAAAGGAAGAGGAAGGGAGAGAGAGAGAAAGAAGGAAGGAAGAAAGAAAGAGAAGAAAGAAGAAAGAAAGAAAAGAAAGAAAGAAAGAAAGAAGAAAGAAAGAAAGAAAAAAGAAAGAAAGAAAGAAAATAAAGGCATTTGTTAAGCAAATCACTGCGGTCATATGGTCATTAAGCGAATCTGACTTCCCCCATTGACTTGTCAGAAGCTGGCTGGTAAGGTCGCAAATGGTGACCGCATGACCCCGGGAGACCCCACAACTGTCATAAAGACATGCCAGTTGCTAAGCATCCAAAATTTGATCACTTGACCATGGAGAATGTTGCAGCAGTCGTAAGTATGAGGATTGGTCAAACGTCCATTTTTTTTTCCAGTGCCTTTATAGTCACCGAGAGAAACGTCGTAAGTTGAGGACTACCCGTACATTGATTGAGATACGTGGTTTCACTGTTTATACATCAAGGTGGCCTGAGAAATAAATAAGAATATTCATTTTATCTGATTTCCCTTAGGCTCGGTGGACATACATAACGTTAATATTTTCCACCAGTAGCGTTTCTGTAGCAGTTTACTGGTGGCAGCAAGGAAAGTGGAGTCAGTTTTTCTTGCCGGGTTGATGATCTGTATTAAGCACCGCAAAACAAAAAGAAGATCAGAACCTTTTAAAGCAAGAATGGGCGACTTAAGACCTCTTTATGACCTGTGGACTTCAACTCCCAGAATTCCTGAGCCAGCATGGCTCAGGAATTCTGGGAGTTGAAGTCCACAGGTTGTAATAATAATAATAATAATAATTTTATTTCTATACCGCCCTTCTCCCGAAGGACTCAGGGCGGTGTACAGCCTATTTAAAAACACAGACAAAACAGCAATTTAAAATTTAAAATAATTAAATAAATTGGCTCAGATTTAAAACCCCAAAAAATTTAAATACCCCAATTTAAAACTATTATGTTGATAGTCTGGCCTGGCAGAACAACAGGGTCTTCAGTGCGCAGCGAAACACCCGGAGGTCGGAGATCTTACATATTTCCGGGGGCAAATCGTTCCACAGGGCTGGGGCTCCCACAGAGAAGGCCCTCCCCCTGGGTGTCGCCAGCCGACATAACTTGGCCGATGGCACCCGGAGGAAACCCTCTCTGTGGGAGCGGACTGGTCGGTGGGAGGCTACTGGTGGCAGAAGTCGGTCTCGGAGGTACCCGGGGTCCTATGCCATGGAGCGCTTTAAAGGTGGTAACCAACACCTTGAATCGCACCCGGAAGACCACTGGGAGCCAGTGCAGCTCGCGCAGGAGGGGTGTCACATGGGCACAACGAGTGTGCCCATAACCACCCGCGGCGGCCGCATTCTGGACCAGTTGGAGCCTCCGAGTGCTCTTCAAGGGGAGCCCCATGTAGAGGGGCCTGGTTGCTTAACCTACTTTGAAATGGGCATTTTTCGCACTTAAGCATGTTCAGTTTGCTCTAACACCGAACCCTTGGCCACCTGTTCACTTTCTTAGTGGAACAGAGAAGGTTTCCTTGGGGGGGTTTTCTAATCGTGTCCAGAAATGTTCCTGCTAAAATTTAAACTGTCAGCTTTCTCTTAAGACCTAAAATCAAACAAACACCGACTACCAACTGAGCAATTGAGAACATGTTTAAAATGTCAAGATTTTTTACCGTTCCTGGCTGGGATATTGCTGGAGATCGGCACACAAGGATCGGCTGTTTAGTCTACAGGTAGTCCTTGGTTTAACAACCGTTCGTTTAGTGGCCGTTCGAAGTTACAAGGCACACTGAAAAAAAAATGACTTAACGACCGTTTTCATACTTATGACTGTTGCAGCATCCCTGTAGTCACGTGATCAAACTTCAGGCGCTAGGCAGCTGACTCATATTTATGACAGTTGGAATGTCACGTGATCCTTTTTTGCGACCTTCTGACAAGCAAAGTCAATGGGAAAACCAGGTTCACTTAACAACCAGGTTACTCACTTAACAAACGCAATGATTCACTTAACACCTGTGGCAAGAAAAGTCGTAAAATGGGGCAAAACTCATTTAGCAAATGTCTCACTTAGCAACATAGGTTTTGGCCTCAGTTGTGGTCATAAATCGAGGACTACCTGTAGATAATTTGGCTTTTCTCCAGATACTGGTTATGATTGCTCACTTAGCAGTCCTCCCAGCAACCTTCAATGGTTGATGAAGTTTAACAGATGTGACCGGGTCACCAGCTGTCAGTGGGGTCACTGTGATTGAGTGACAGTTTCAATCTATATCTCCAAAGGTCCTGACATTAGTGCCCTTTCTAATCCCCCCCCCCTTTTTTAAATTTAAATTTCTCAAAAGCTGGTACACAGGCCGGAGAGGAGATTCCAGTGGTTTCAAAGAATCAAGTCAAGGAATACAAGGACAGCTTCTCCAACGAGAAATTTGATTTCCGCAACAATCCCAACATCACTTTCTTTGTCTACGTCAGCAACTTCACCTGGCCTATAAAAATTCAGGTGAGAAACTCCTGTGTTTTATTTCATTACGTGTTGGTCACTAGATGTTTGAGACTGGATTTGGTGTTTTTGATTCACCTCTCGAGTCCTTCCCAAGGACCTGGGATAGGAAAACGTCGTTGTTCTGTGTGATGTTGTTAAAAATGGATGGTGTTGAAGGCTGGATGGAAGCTGTTCCGAGTAGAGCTGCCTTTTGCAATTGACCGATAGGGATTTTTGTCAATGCCGATGGTGTTCATTTTACGAAAAGTAACTCTGGGTGGTGTAAATCTGTAGAGATCCTCAGTCATCCAGGTCATGGTTGTCCCAAAGATGCTTTTTCAGGAGGCAACTGGACTTTCTGGTTATTTTCTTTGAAGATGTTTCGCTTCTCATCCAAGAAGCTTCTTCAGCTCTGACAAGACAGGGGGGAATGGAAGGTTTTATATTCCTTGCAGACAGCTGGTCATTTGCATCCTTTTAGTTAGTCATTGAAGCACTTGGAGGTTTATCTGTGTCCTCAGCATCACCTGAAGTGGTGCTAATGGTTCCTGTAGTCTCTGTTGTGACCTCGGCTTCCTGAGTCATTGAAACACATGAGTAGTCCCAAAACCCTCTTTTATTGCAACAGCTGTGAATTACGTTCACAGTGATTCACTGTGAACGTAATTCACAGCTGAGTCCCAATTAGTTGCAAAAAGTCCTTCGGGATAATCACCAAACTTTATCTCTGCCAAAAGACCTACTTGGCAAAGCCCCACGGAGTCCAGAATCAAACAGAGATGCCGACTGGGAACAGAATTAACAACGTTGCTTTCCTGCAGAGTGCCCACGTGCCTTTGCTCCTCTTTTAACCCTTATGGGAGGGGCCAATCACCTCCAGGCCTTACTCCCGAGTCGTCCCTTTTGTTTTAACTGTTTGTGCCTTCTGGCAGCTCTGCGCATGCACGCACTAGGAACAGGCTCTCTGATGTCCGACTCTAGAGGCTCCGGAGTCTGCGCATCACTGCCAGATGGCCCTGGCCCCATCTCTGCCTCCGATGCAGAGCCCTCGTCCGGGCCTTCACCAGACTTCAGGATTGGCCCATGTTCCTCCCCAGCCTCCTTAGTGTCCGACTCAGCTGCCAGCTCCGCAGCCTGCTTGCAGACCACAAGAGTCTGCAATTTTTTCTCTGGAAATCCATTCCTACTCCCACACCATCCAAAATTGTATAGCTAAAAGCCTAGGTGGTGTACATCAGTTAAACAGACATATAAAAAAACAATCCTTGAGCCTTGGTAGTACAGGGGTTTAAGGCACCCTGTTATTAAGCTGGTTATTAAGACCAGCTGCCTGCAATTACTGCAGGGTTCGAATCTCGCCAAGGCTCAAGGTTGACTCAGCCTTCCATCCTTTCTAAGGTAGGTTAAATGAGGACCCAGTTTGTGGGGGCAATAAGCTGACTTTGTATAAATATACAAAAGGATGAAGGCTATTGCTGAGCACATTGTAAGCCGCCCTGAGTCTTCGGAGAAGGGCGGCATATAAATCAAATTAAAAAAAAAAATCATTATTAAATATATTTTTAAAAAATCACAAGGCTGAGCGAAAACGAGAGACGATAGCAAAAAAACAATGGAGCCCTCTCAAGATCTCAGCAGACTCCCAGGCCTGATGATGGAGCCACATTTTGAGGGACTTCCAGAAAATCAATAGTGATGCAGCTAACGTCACTTGTCCACACATCGTCCAGCGGCCAAGGTTGAGAAACACTGGGCCACACAAAGGAAAAAACGAAATGTTGATTCCAGGGCTGCGTTAAAACCATGTTTGTCTGCACCCAACAAACTGCTCTACACAACATGGAACATTTTCCATCTGCACCAAAGAGAAAAAAAACCCAAAACTTGTGACACTCAGATCCACTAGGTTTACTTGCTCCGGGAACTTCCTTAGGCAACCACATTTTTTTCCAGGAGTTTCCAAACTTGGCAGCTTTTAAGATTTGGGGACTTCAACTCTCAGAATTCCTCAGCCAGCCATGCTGGTGTTATGGTCCGCCAGCAGCCTGCGAAGCTGGCAGCGAAGTCAGACAGCAATGAGGCTGAGGAAGAACAGGGGCCAGTCCCGGAGGCTGGGGAAGGCCCAGATGAGGGCAGAGATGGGGCCAGGCGCAGTGGTGGGTTCCAACCGGCGTTACTACCAGTTCTCTTTGTGCACGCACTTGGTGCACGCAATCACCGCACACATGCTCGCTTCACTTGTATACACGCCAAACTTGCGCTCCGTGTAAGCGTGTTAGGTATCTGCTCAGCTGAGGTGCGGCAATCCACTCTGCTGCACCTATCAGCTGGGCTAAACAAGAAGAAATAAAGATAGGAATAGCGCGGGGATGGGCAGGAGGGCCCAGCTCCCAGACAAAGAGAACCAGTTCGGTGACGTCACATCATCACCGCTACCGGCTCAGCCGAACCGGGCCGAACCGGGAGGAACGGACCACTGGGCCAGGGCCATCAGGGAGTGATGTGCAGACTTCAGAGCCTCCAGAGACTGACAGTAGAGAGGCAGAGGAACAGGAGGAGCCTCTTCCTAGTGCACATATGAGAATAGCTGCCAGAAGGCAAGAGCAGCTACAGCAAAAAGGACGACTCAGGAGTAAGGCCAAGAGATGATTGGCCCCTCCCAGAAGGCTTAAAAGACCAGCAATGGCTCTTGGGCTCTTTGTCGGAAAACAACATTGATAGTCTTGCTGCTACTTATCTCTGGTCGGCGTCTTTTGCTTCTGAACTTTTGCCAAGAGAAGCCTTTGGCAGTTTGCCTAATTATACCAAGGTTGGTGATTAGACTGAAGAATTTGTGTTATGAAGAGCTTGTTTTGTTTTAGTTTGGACTACGCTGAGAATGAGTTAATTCTCAGCTGTTCTAATAAAGTCTGTTTGTTTTGGAACTGTTTGCATCTAATACTACCTACTTGGGCCTGGGTCACAACAGCTGGGCAGTCCATGACACGAACGAAGAGGGAGGAAAGCTTAGAAAAACACTGGACCCCAATCGAAATGATGAAAGTGCAGGGGGTCCTCAACTTACAACCATTTGTTTAGGGACGGTTCAAGGTTACAAGGGCACTAAAAAAGGGGAGGAGGACCTTTGCAGCATCCCCGTGTCCGAGCGATCAAAATTCGGATGCTTGGCATCTTGTATGACGGTTGCGGTGTCTTGGGGTCATGTGATCCCTTTTTGTGGCCCAGCAATAGTTGGGGAAACCAGACTCACTTAACAACCGTGTCCCTAAGATAACGAACGGCAGCGACTCACTTCATGCTGAATGCACTGAATCCCTGCAGTCGTTCAGTGAGGGACACGGTTGTTAAGTGAGTCTGGTTTCCCCGTTGACTTTGCTCGTCAGAAGGTCGCCCCAAAGGGGATCACATGACCAGGGCGAGAAAGATCGTAAAATGGAGGCAGAACGCGCTCAGCGACAGAAAAAAGTGGGCTCAATTGCGGTCGTTAAGTCGGGGACTACCTGCACGTACGGAATTGGATGCAGGAGCCTCTCTAAATCCATGTTGTTATGTTCATCCTGACTTCTCAAACCTTACAGACTTCAGAGGGTCTAGCGTGCACCTTACAGGAGTGGGCCAAATTGTGGAAACCTTTTGGGGGGAAAAGTGTATTTTCTAAAACTAGCTTAATAACACCACTTTTTTTTTTTTTTTTTTGCAGTAGTACCATAAAATTATATATCAATGGAAAGATCATTTAATCAAGAATGTAATGCCGTAATTTTCAGGAAGGATTTGCTATTAGAAGAGCAGTTACAACATAAAGAAGAAAAGTGAAACATGTAGAAAAAACGAGATATACCAAAATGATCCCCATGTCAGTTAATGCTTAGTTGGGTAACCTTTAGCATGAATGACGACCTTACAACGTCTTCCCATGGAGTGAACCAAGTCTTTTAGTTCTGCAGCTGTTCTAATGTGAAACCAAGATTGAAGGATGGCTTCTGTTAACTGGGTTTTATTGCTGGGTCACTTCTGGCTAACAGGTTTCTATAGTCGGCTCCTTAAATTTTCCATGGGGTGAAGGTCTGGGCTCTTCCCAGGCCATTCCAGCAGTGGAATAGGATTCTCTTGAAACTCCAAAAAAAAAAAAAAAGTGATGTTATTAGCCATCAAACCTCAAAAATACACTTTTCCCAAAAGGTTTCCACAATTTTGGCCGCTACTGTATTTTGACCTGCACTAAAATCACAGTGTAGGTCGGGACACCTGTTCAAGGAGGAAGATCTCAGCTCTACCCAAGCAGGTTGACATCTTCCCAGAATTGGGGAGCCCTTCGTCCTCCAGGCTCAGTCATTTTCTAATGCAACCGATCTGGCAGATGCTAGGGGGTCTGATTGTTAGGAAGCTACATTTGGGGGGCAGGGGTGACCCCAGGGGGCCCTTCTCTGCCATAGAGGCCAGCTAAGGGAATATTTTACACGCACAAAGGTTGAGAAACACTGGTGTAACCCATCTCCTCCCCCTTTGCCCTTCCTCTGTTGTCCTCTTTGTGTCCAATTTCAGATTGCGTTCAGCTTCCATCCCATTCCTGACCGCTCTCATCACTGAGCCAATATCGGTTCCGTTTGATGCATAGGAGCCGGCTGGGATACGGCAAGACAAGACAGACTAAAAAAAGATACCTGAAGGACGGACTTCCTTGAGCAGTGGCATTGTCCCGTTCCTCTTGTCAATTCCGGGGCGAGGCTCAGTGGCTTAGCTTCTCAAATGAATCACGGTTGTTAAGTGAATTAGGCTCCCCCATCGACATTATCAATGACGATCACACGATCCTGGGACACTGCAGCCGTCATAAACGTCAGCCTGCAGCTGTTCTAAGCGAAATAAGTCACATTTTTCAATGCCCTTACGGGTAGTTCCTCGACTTACGACCACAGCGGATCCCCCAAATTTCTGTCGTTAAGCGAGACGTTCGTTTAAGTGATTTTTGCCCCCACTTTACGACCTTTCCCGCCGCATTTGTTAAGGGAATCCCCGCAATTCTTAAATTAGTAACCTGGTTGTTAAGTGGAATCTGGCCTCCCTCTTGACTTGGCTCATCAGAAGGTCGGACTTTGGGACTGGGGATGCTGCAGCGGTCGTCACTGTGAAAAACGGTCCTAAGTCGCGTTTTCCAGAGCCTGTTGTAACTCCGAACCGTCACTAAACGAACCGTTGTAAGTCGAGGACTACCTGTACAACTTTGAAGGGTGACTAAACGAAAGCTGAGGACTTCCCTGTATAGGAGAGAGAGTGGGTGGGATTGGCCAATTCCAGGTGTGTGAACGATGAACACTGTGCCGGAAAATTTTACGGATGGATAGTCCGGCTCATCAGACGCATTTTGTGCGTTGTCAGTCGCACACCTGTGCGTGTGCGAATATGGAGAAGGAAAATATATATTAGCAGGGACTCGGTTCACGAAAGGTGAAACGTCACCTGTAAAATGTATATAAAATAAGCAGGAGGAGGGTTCCAATTGGCAGGAAAGGCTAAAGCACTTAAATCACCATTGTAAATCAAAAGGAAAAAAAAAAAGCTCTTTATTCAAACGCAGTCATGCAGCATGAGATTTGGGGGGGGAAATAATTTAACTTTGTTCTGGATGTTTCTGTTAAAAAACGTTTAGCCGTGTTAAATTTCTGGATTTTTTTTTTTTTTTTCTTTAAACCAACACAAAATCGCTCTGTGCAACAAATGGAAACCATCTCAGATTTTTCTTTTTTTTAATAGAATGAAAGTAATGTGGTGGTTTGGGGGAAAGATAGAATTGTGTACGGGGAGTCCTTGTTTAGCGGCTTCCTCGTTTAACGACCGTTTGAAGTTACCACAGTGCAAAACAAAACGAAAAACCCTTAACAACCAAATCCTTTCATTTACAACTTTCACAGTCTCTCTCTTGTTTTATTTTTTTTACTTATTTCTTTACCCAACGCCAAGATGTCTTCTGAGAGGGGGAGAGAAAAAAATCTTAGTTCGGCTGAAGGGAATATTAAGAATAGCAAACAAACAAACAAACAAAAAAACACTGAACGAAGCACAATGGCAGTTGTGCGGTTTTCACTTAAATGGCTGCTTCGCTTAACGATCAAGTTGCTGGTCCCAGCTGTGGTCGCTAAACGAGGACTGCCTGTAATTTGATTCTCTCGTAAAATCTTTGGGCTTGCTCTAGTCTAGCAGATATATATACAAACGCAGCTATTTAGAACTATGAGTAACAGTCTGCTTATTATATGAACAGCTAACGGGATTTTATGAAATAAAGACCTACTCATTGCTGACTTTTCAGTTGCATCCGGGCTGTGTCATTTTGTGCAATTTGGAAGCGATTGCAACGCCACAACCTTTATGCTTTTGTTGGGCCGCGGATGAGGAGGAGTCTCCATCGTTAGTGTTTAATGCAGAGGAACAAATGGCTTCCCCCCCCCTTTCCTAGATGACGGAGAGCTTTGATACTCTGGTGGGGAAGGGGAGGACAGGAGGGGACCAGATCTCCCAGCCTCTCCAGACTGATCACAGAATAAAAGAGTTGGAAGGGACCTCGGAGGTCTTCTAGACCAACCCCAGTGCTCAAGCAGGAAACCCTATACCAGTGACGGCAAACTTTTTCCCGACCGAGTGCCCAAAGCTCGTGCACGTGCGAATGGACGTATGCGTGGCCAAACCCTCCAAAATGTGATGCATGTGCAGCCCCCCTGCATGGCAGAGACCCGAAGACCAGCTGGCCGGTGGGACCCGCGTGTGCACATGCGCAGCGGAGCTGAACTGGGGCGACGGCTTGTGTGACTACCGAGAGGGCACTGCCTACCACCTCTGGCATGCGTACAATAGGTTCGCCATCACGGCCCTACAACATTTCAGACAAAGGGTTGTCCAATCTCTTCTTCAAAAGCCTCCCCACAACTTCTGGTGGCAAGCTGTTCCACTGGTTAATTGTCTTCACTGTCGGGAAATGTCTCCTTAGTTCCAGGTTGCTTCTCTCCTTGATGAGTTTCCACCCATTGATTCTTGTTCTGCCCTCGGGTGCTTTGGAGAATAGGTGGACCCCTTCCTCTTTGGGGCAGCCCCGGAGATACTGGAAGACTTGCTATCAGGTCCCCCCTAGTCCTTCTCTTCATTAGGCTAAACGTGGCTAGTTCCCTTAGCAGCAGCTTATGGTGCACACAACGACTGCCGTATCTTGACAGTCACAGCACATCCCCCCTGCTCCCTTGCATTTCGGGAGGTGTCCTGTGGACATGAAAAAACGCACAATTTCTTCTAAGTGTGGAGGAAGCTATAAAGCGGATTAAATAACCCTCTGTGACAGCCCTTCAAATATTGGAAGGCTGCTATCGTGTCCTTCTCTTCATCAGACTAGACATACCCAGTTCCTGCAACCGTTCTTCATATGTTTTAGCCTCCAATTCCCTAATCCTCTTTGTTGCTCTTCTCTGCACTCTTTCCAGAGTCTCCACATCTTTTTTACATCGTGGCGACCAAAACTGGATGCCATATTCCAAGTGTGGCCTTACCAAGGCATCATAAAGTGGTATTAAGGCTTCAGGTGTTCACAAGAGACCATAACTCCCAAAGGCACCTGATCCTCCTTGTAATTCCTTGCTTGTCATTCCCTTGCAAAGAGGGCCCGTGTTTTCCAAAGGTAGAAACGGCTTCCTCCCTCGGACAGAACAGGAATGCTATAATCTTGAAATCACGTTGGGCTGGCGTGCAGCATTTCTATATACGAACGTGTTTCCTTAAATGTTTTATTCATCATTCGAAAAGGAAAAAAGAAATAATAATAATAATACAAATTCTTAACAGATGCTTCTCTTTTTGTATCTGTGTGGGAGGGGCAGGGCAGGAGAGATGGGAAGAAAAGCGATATGAGACTTTTAGGAGCCATTATTTGAATTTTTAAAAAGTGATTATTAGCATGCAGGATGTCTGGTTCTTATCAGCATGATTGTTAGGGAAATACAGATTAAGCGGCCAGGCCCACCACTTTGGTTATAATCTTCTTCCTCCATCTCTCTCTCTCTCCTTTCCTCCCTCTCTCCTTCCCTTCCCTTCCCTTCCTGACTGTCTGCCTCTCTTTATCCTCCCTCCGGCCCTCCCTCCCTCCTTCCCTCCCTTCCTGTCTGCCTGCCTTCCCTCCCTCTTTTTCCTCCCTCCCTCCCTCTTTTTCCTTCCTCATTTTCCTTCCTTCCTTCCCCTCCCCTCCCTCTTTTTCTTTCCTTCCTTCCCTCCTCCCTCCCTCTTTTTCCTTCCTTCCTTCCTTCCTTCCTCCTTCTCTTTCCTTCCTTCCTCCCTCCCTCCCTCTCTTTCCTTCCTCCCTCCCTCCTCCCTCCCTCTTTTTCTTTCCTTCCTCCCTCCCTCCCTCCCTCCCTCTCTTTCCTTCCTTCCTTCCTCCCTCCTCCCTCCCTCTTTTTCTTTCCTTCCTCCCTCCCTCCCTCTCTCCCTCCCTCCCTCCCTCTTTTTCCTTCCTTCCTTCCTTCCTTCCTTCCTTCCTTCCCTCCCTCCCTCCCTCCCTCCCTCCTTTTCCTTCCTTCCTCCATTCCCTTCCCTTCCCTCCCTCTTTTTCCTTCCTCCCTTCCCTTCCCTCCCTCCCTCCTTCCTTTTCCTCCCTCTCTCCCTCTCTTTTTCCTCCCTTCCTCCCTCCCTCCCTCTTTTTCCTTCCTTCTCTAACACCTTCTCTAAAATTGTATTGAATAAAACAACTGAGCCATAATTTTCAAACAATCAAAGGTATAGAAATCTGCAGCAACATAACAACACTTATACTCAGATTAAAGTTAATCAAAAACTTGATGGGTTTCTTGGGGGGCCAACAGAAGTCCAGTAAAATTGTTCTTCCTTTGCTGTACACTCAATCTTGGTTATTTAAGGCCAGTCGGAAACTTGCATTTCTGCCTCGCCTTGACGTTCCCATTCAAATGCTGGTGCCCAGCCTCCTTCGGCCTCCCGTTCATTTTGCCTGCTTTCAATTACGATTTATGACAGCTTAAAATTGTAGAAAGGGGATAGATTAATGGAGAGGATTATTGTCGAAATTTAAAAAAAGGCAGGGTATTGTAGGAGACCAAGTTCCTGACTTCATGTTTCTGCTGTTGCTTTTTCTTTTCCTGCCCCCCCTCCTCTTTTCTTAGATTTTTTTGATGGTTTTTTTTTTTTTTTTAGGAAGTTTGCAGCTTCTAAATGCCCTTTTTGTGCTCCTAATATTTGTGTCCCGGCCAATGCCAAGGTCTCTCTCCTCCTCCGAAACTTTGCTCCACCTCTCTATAAAACCACTTTTAAAAGGGCATTGGGGTTGGTGCACCTCCTTCCTTCCTTCATTTGAAAAATGTAGACAGCCGAATTGTTTTTTTTTAAAAAAAAAATTAGAAATTCAGGGTGGGTTTTCCAGATTGGTCCCATTGAAGTCCCTGTGGCTTGCAAAAACCCCATCATGAAATCTCCTTAAAGTCGGCCGTCTTTTTCTCAAGGACCATAAATAGGTAAGTTCTCCTCATCCACTTCTTAGCACCCTTCTTGCTCCTTCTCGATATATTTACTCTGCCTGATTCAAACTTTGTTGGCATTCATAAGTCCAGTCTGTGTCTCTTCGTTCTGGAATGCGGTACTTTTGGAACGGGTTTTTCTAGAAAAATCTGATCCAGCGGAGACATCTTCCGAATCCTGCCGGGCCGGCTAGGAGGTGGTGCTGGAACTTTGGAAAAAAAAACTCACACTTGAAAGCAGTTGCGACAGCGTTTGATGTTATAAATACTTGAAAGCTTGTCTTGCGGTTGTTAGAGAGGTTAGCCTTCGTTTCTTGGGGCGTGTTTGGTTCCGCCGTTCGAGAACCCCATTGGGCTAAGAGAAGAAGGAAAGAGAGAGAGAATATGTTCGGGATTTAGCAGTTGAATGTTATACGAGTAAAGTCCTCGACTTGCAACCATTCGTTTAGCGAGCGTTCCAAGTTACAACGGCACTGAAAAAAAGGGGACTTCAAGCTGTTTTTCACACTTATATGGTCATGTGATCAAAATTCAGACGCTTGGCAGCTGACTCGTATTTATGACGGTTGGGGTGTCCTGAGGTCACTCGATCCCCTTTCATTGCGTCTTTCCGATAAGCAAAGTGAACGGAGAAGCCAGATTCATTTAAATAACTGTGTTACTAACTTAACGGCAGTGTTTCGCTTAACGAAGGTGGCAGGAAAGGTCGTAACATGTAGCCAAACTCACTCAGCAGCAGGGATTTCGGGCACAGTTGTGGTTTGTAAGTGAAGGATTACCTGCAAGTGGTTTTAGCTTGTTCTTCTTTCCTTGTGTTGCATCTGGGAACTACGGTACCTCATCTCTGCATCAGTGGTTTTCTGCAGGTAGTCCTGGATTTATGATGATAATTGAGGCCAGATTTTCCATTGTTAAGCCCTCTTCCTCCTCCCAATACCTACACCCTCCTAGTACTGATGATGTTACCTAGTTGGGTCATGAAAGGTCTGCATGAAAACAACCAAGCTCAGAGAGCACCAGGGACCCCATAGTCCTCCTCCTCCTCCCAATACCCACACCTTTCTAGCACTGATGGTATTACCTAGCTGGGTAATGAAACGTCTGCAAGAAAACAACCAAGCTCAGAGAGCACCAATGACCCCTAAGATATGCACCCCATTTCTCCCTTCCAAAGGAATGCAGAAAAGACATAAAATCGGGATCGGGACTCCTTACGCACGGTCACTCATGCCCTCGTCACCTCCCGCCTGGACTATTGTAACGCTCTCTACATGGGGCTCCCCTTGAGGAGCACCCGGAGGCTCCAACTGGCGCAGAGTGTGGCCGCGTGTGTGGTAATGGGAGCGACATGGTGTTCCCATGTAACACCCCTCCTGCGCGAGCTGCACTGGCTCCCGGTGGTCTTCCGGGTGCGCTTCAAGGTTTTGGTTACCACCTTTAAAGCGCTCCATGGCTCAGGACCTGGGTACTTGCGGGACTGCCTACTACCACCAATAGCCTCCCACCAGCCGGTACGCTCTCATAGAGAGGGGCTCCTCCGGGTGCCGTCGGCCAAACAATGCCGACTGGCGGCCCCCAGGGGGAGGGCCTTCTCTGTGGGGGCACCTACTATCTGGAACGAGCTCCCCCCGGAGATACGGAGGATCCCGGATCTGTGCACCTTCCGCCGCGCGCTTAAGACCTTTTTATTTCACCAGGCGGGCCTGGCCTAACTTTCTCCTTTTTAAACAATTTTAATATTTTAATATTTTTAATCCTCAAAGTTTAAATTTGTTTTAAATTGATTGGGGGTTTTAATCTGTCTGG